TCTGTATGTGCTAGTTATGTAGATTGTGTAGCCTAATGAAATGTGCTACACTTAATACACAACAGCCGTGTTGGTATAATAATGCCATGTAAAAGAAGAATCAAATCCCATGGATCTACCTGTGGTAGGAAGGGTAGATCTTCCATTTTACGGTGACATGCAGGGCAAAATGACTGCAGGCTCAGTCAAGCTGTATTAATATTATTATTATTAGGTGCATGTATTTTCACTAACTTATACCTGTCTATTTAGAATACAGGTCTTCCGAGCAGCTGGTAGTTTACCGGGTGTGAACTTAGGTTGCTGGGTTTGCAATATGAATTGCCAGCCCTTCCTAGTGCGGGTCTGTGTGGAGCTTTTGATCAGTAAATTGCTCCACATTCTGTGTTTCAGAAACATTGGCTCATGCATATTACTTCCTGCTGCTTATGTTCCCCATGCCCCAATGTAAACATAGTGTGGATTAACCAGGTCTTTATTTTTGTTAATTTAATAACAAGCATTACTGTAGTGTGACTGTGTATAGATATCCCTTAGCTGTCTTTTTTTTTTTTTTTTTTTTTTTGACGGGGGGAACAAACTTCATTCAGGAATACTCTGTGCAGGAGAGCAGTTGACTAGTGCTGCTCTGGCATTAATCCCAGGAACCACTAGCAGTAGAGGGGCGCCACCAATCTTACATGAGCACAGGTGCTTCATGATGGATCATACTAGCATGTTCAGCTGCATCATGTTCTGGCACTGTATTTTGAATGGTATTAATTTATTAAAAAAAGTGAATCAAAATTTGTATACTCTTATTTTTTTGCAAGACAGATGATATGTCATTGTAAGCTAAGGCTGTTGAGATGTTTGTATTATCGTGAATGAGCAAGTGTACTGGTATATGGCTCTGACTTATCAGGACAACAAGCCAATTTGTCACACCAAACACAGGTTGCCTGGCAAGCTTACCGCTTCTGCTGATAGGAATAACCAAGATAGAGTGATTGAACAGGATGCATCAACATATGTGCTCACTGACAGTAAGCATGCCATGATGTATGAATTAATCCAATGCTGTTATCTTGAAGTCAATAGCGTTATGATCTATCTATCCACTTAAGTGCACACTGATCTTTCAGAATAATTACTTAATTGGCTTCACCCATTCAGAATAGCAGAGACAACAAAAAGTCCAAGTGCTTCATACTGCTTCTTCCCTGTTCTTTTCAGCATTGGGTGAAACAGCTTAGTATTTCCCTATGGAGAGATCTCTATTTTTCAAAAAGTATCTCTCCAAATTGGGAGCCTCCAGCTTCCTAAAGCTATATTTAGGACAGAATGGGAAGTAACAACTTGTGTTTCCTCTTGCTGCTCTTTCTTTGAACAACTGAATGTACCTGATTTGGCAAATCTTACTGAAGTTAGAAAATGTATTTCTGAAACCTTCAAATGAGATGTTAATATTAATTTATAGTAGCAAATGCAATAGTGTCTTGTGCTGTCTTAACAGATGCAACATTTGTGGCACAAGCAATCCTGAGGTAGAGCCCACTTCATCAGCCTTTCAATGTCTAAAACTGAGAAACACAAAGTAGAAACTGAAGAATGTTTGGGAGGAGAGGAATGGCAGCAGTGACAATCCGTGGTCACAGGAAACTGATAAAAGTTGAGCATGCCTTACTAGGACTAAACCTTGATTCCATACAGTATGTTCAATAGCTCTCCCTAGATACTGTTTTGCTGAAGTGCCTTTTGTTAACATTTTTGGTCTCTACAGCAGTTGTTAAGTATGCACATTTTAATCCCCTGTAGGCATGAGAGACAGGAAGAGGAAGAGTAAAGAGATGTTGTTTGTCAGAGTAATCCAAACTTACTTGCACACATCCCTTTTTAATCATAGGTAAACTTAAGTGCAGTATTTAAAACAAAGGCAATCTAGGCTCAGTTCACTTCCTAAGCAAAGGCCAAGCACAAGAAGTCTGACAAATAGAATAGGGCTGGATTCCTGGGAGGATTGTTGCAACCCTAGCATTGAACTTGCGTTTTCCCTCTCCCTAGGCTGGTTTTTTGTTTCAATTGGATGGAATTTGTAGAAGAAACAAATGGGAGGACTATTCCAGCTTCTCAAGAGTTTTTTATGTATTTTATTTATTTAGAAAATTTGTAGGCCATCCATTACTGTTGTCTCTGGATGGCTTATAACAGTATTTCAATCCTAAATAAAATAAGTTAACTGTTCCACACTGAGCATAAAACTAATCCATTTAAAAACTTACATAAATTTAACACAATTAAAATCACTATATATTGGTCAAATAAAAAGGTCTTGACCTGGTGCCAAAAAGCATATAATGAGTTGTCTGTTCTAGCATGTCTATTCTAGCTTCTCTAGAGTTGGCTGTTCTGGCATGTCTAATACCCTTTTCTCCTACCCAGAAACATTGGAGTAGAACTAGAAATGGAGGTTCCTGTTGTGGGGATGGCATTTATGATTGGATCCCTCTAAGGACAGATCTTGCTCAGCCCTCAAAAGTGAAGTTGAGTGAGTTCTGATGGTCCCTAGAATGTCTACTAGTCTAATAATTTTTTCACGTGCAGTTCAACTGTACAAACTTAATTTATAATCCATTTTTCTTGATGAATATACCACTTCCTCTAACAAAACTGGTGTGGTTATCTCATTACAGAAGTTGTAACTGTCTTGAACATAACAGAGCAAGTGGATATTTAGAATAAAGTGTGTTCATAAATTTGTAATCATGTTGACAATCCACATACACTCAGCTTGTATGTTTATGAAGATTCTTCTCTATGATCATAGTGTGCTTAATTTACTATTACAAAGCAGAACAAAATCATTTTCTCAATTTTGGTCAGTACAAACAGAATTGCTTAAGCAGCATTAAAAACTACAAGAAACAAAACTTTGGATATATGTGGTTAAAACCTAACAATAGAACATGGTCTGTAATATAGCCTGCATCAGGCATTTTGCAGGCTACCAATAAGGGGTTAACCTTTAGTTAGTATATAAATGTTTAATATTCTACAGACAAAATAAGAACATAGTAATAGTCATTTGGTCAAATCTAAATTTAAGCTGCACTGAAGTAGGCTTCTATGCCCCTTCTTTCCCACAGTGGCCTCCAGCCAACTGAAATTGCTGGATGATGGGACTTTCTTATAGAAGACAGATCCTGAATGCAATGCAATATTTACAAATCATGACTAAAATTATTTTGAATGAAGGTTTAAAAGAACAGAACCATGGGAGATTTCTACACCGTAAAAGGCCAATGTAGAATTTCTTTTCAAATTGCCGGAAACCAGCCCAATTAAGATCTCACGGGGACATGTTTAGATTTGACTGTTCTGCTTAGTTCTCATTCCCATCATCCTTCCCAGTACGGCCCATGGAGTTCCTTTACTAGTTGTCATCTACCAGTGCAGAACTCATCTCCAACTTAATGTATAATCTTTCTGAGTAAATGGTTAACTTTATGCATGAACTGAGATCTGAAAGTAAAAGAATTTTTCCTTAGCAAGCCAGGCAAATCTTATTAGCCTTGTTCCACTAACATGCAGAAGTTCTGTTAGTCAAGAAGTGGGTTTGTTGGTCATACAAGAATACAAAACCTGTACATTGGTTATGTATGTGAGAATTGATATTTGTAAGTACTGTATGAATTTCAGTATGGGATTCTCTCTCAGAAAAAAGCTAAATATAGGGACTGTACCACTCCATACACAAGACTCATGGATGGAGAAGTTATCTGAAAGGTCAATTCATGGTCTAAATTAAGGTTTACTGTTCTTAGGAACTGGTCAGACTTCTGACCAAAAGTTGGATCGGAAGATAGAACATGTTTCCCCAGGTTGTCACACAATAAGAAAGCAGATAAAGAGGTGGGCGCTACAGTTTGCAATAAAAAGACTCCCAGATGACCATTTTAAATTTTCCAGGGACCTCAGTGGATTGTACTGAAAGTGAAGCTAGTGTGTAGAGGAAAAGGGACTTTGGGCAAGGGTCTCAGCTGCTGCATTCTGAGCCTCCATTTCAGTGGAAGCAGGCGTTTAAGGAAACAGGGTGGCAAAATTCTGACAAAATCCTGCGTCCTGTGATTTGAAAAATGATTTCAGCAAGGATCTGAAAATTGGTGGGAAATACTGGACAATTGAATTTTGAGTTTGTACCATCTTTTTAAAAAAAACAAAAAGGAAGTACACTGGCATGGTTAAATACATCCTTACAGGGAAGATTTTTCTGCCAATTTTTTGCAAAAGGGTAAATCTCTCCACCTGCTTATTATAATTAACAGCATGTATACATCTTTAGTGTAGCTGACTCTTTGAGTATGCCCGATTAATATGCTTTAACATGCCATTATGAGGCCTTCATTTTTGTGTTAAAGAATCTTGCCCTGCATATGTGACCACAGGTTCACAACCTTATGAAACAATGAGTCCATTTCCATGGAATTGCAGCAAATTATGGGTTAATGAACTCAGTTTGCAGGGTTCTGTGCTATGTATGAGGTGCTGCCCCTTCGCATAAGTAACTTTTGATTGGAGGGTGTCAAGCAAACTGCAGATGTGAGCGCTATAGGTTATTTGTGGGTTAACCAACCCAAAGTGAACTAAGATATAATTACAGGCTAATGTTGGGTTGTTTAACTCACAGATAACCCATAATGTCTGGGTTCACAGGTCACACTAGCTCCTTTGATTAGGAGGAAATTATGCAAAGTGGCAGCAACTTACTTGCCTTGCTCTTAAACATGAATTGGGTTTAAAACATACTAGAACGTTTGGCAATTGCAGCAAGCCCTCCATTCTTGTTGCTCCAGATGTGGCAGGACTGGAATTCTAAAGGCACATCAGCCAGTTATCAAGCAACACTAGGGCAAAGTGTCTTCCGGCTAGCAGCCTGCCAATTTTTGATAGTTTGAGGTCCAGTCTTGATTTCTTTATACTGCAGAATAATCCTAAAGCAATGAATAAATTGATACGCCTTACTCAGATAGAAATTGTATCTCTTCCAATAAAGGCTTATGTCCATCAAGATACATTCAAGCTAAACAAGAACTTTAAAAAATTTCTTTACAACAAAATATACAGAAGCAGCAATAGTCTTTTCAACACAGTAACTAAGTCTTTGCACATTGACAATAGATGAAATACACAAATTTATCAATTGTCCTTCCCCAATAACCTGGTAGCAGCAAAGATCTGATGGAAGTATTCTAGTATAATGCATTTCACTTAAAATAATCCATGATTGGGCAGCTAATTCCAATTACACAAAAGAAAATGAGCCTTGTTAGTCTGGTGATGTCTCCTTAAATTTTGTAAGAGGGGTAGAGGTATTTCTAGTTTATTTAGTGCACATTTCCAAGTATTTCCAAATTGAAATACCATACTAGCAACATGATCCTAAACACTTGCATGTAGGATGAATGTCATATAATATTGTTGCAATAATGACAAACCATTACATAATATATGTTGGCCCAACCTTCAGTATGTTGCATCCTGAACATTTACTTGCCCATACAGCATGACCAAAGGCATGTAGCTCATTCAGATATTGGGGTGGGGAGTGTTCATGGTTCTGCTGACTTTGCTGAGAGGGCGCACTTTTATTTTCATATCCCCCCTCCCCACAATTATCTGTGGAACAGGACACATGTCATTTTCAATGCACATTCTTAATCAAGTCTTTGAGTTCTCTCTTTTATACAAACTCAGATGTGCATGCACACAAACACACAGTGGTATATAAAGGAATGTGTGAGTTTACATTTGAGCCTCAAGCAGCTTCTTCTTGTATTCCACAACCTGTATGCAGTGTCTCCATGCTTACAGATCAACCCTTCTTGTATAACTCTAAAAGTCTGTTAGTTTTTAGAAATAACCCTACAATCATGAAAGCAGCAAAATACAAAAATTAATCAAGACTGGAATTTTAAAGGTAGCATTTCATGCTGCATGTGTCCTGTTCATACATCAACAAATGCCAACACCACAGTATCATGTAGTACATTAACTAGTGCTTTCTTCATTGTAAGTGCTTCAAGCAGAGCATCTACTTTTAACATGTATTTACAGAAAAAAAAACCTCAAATGTTTGTGCCCATGGCCCAAACTCCAAAAGGGAAGTTATTAATGGCTAGAACACAAAGAAATACTGTTCATATTAAATGTGAATGGTCCTCCTTTATATAGCTCTAAAACAAATTAGTCTTGGAGTAGCAACTATTTTAGAAAATTCTTTTGGGGTATCATGGACACTATTGCACTGTCTATGACAGCTTGCTTTGTATATAGTGGATTAGCTGATGAGTCTGAAAAAATAAATTTGGCCTTGAAATACTTGTATTAACTTCATTAATGAATACTGCCAGATTTTTTTCTGAAGATTATAATAATATTTAAATTAGGCATGAAATTCCGACTCCAAGGTAATAGCTACTATAAACTGCTTTGCTGACATTTTGTCAGTTACAATCATTGCCCCATGGTACTACTATAATTCTGCCACTTTTACATCACAGAACTTGTAGATTAATCCACAGAAGGTGCATATCAAGGTATCCTTTTAAAACTGCTCTACTTAAGGGAGGATGAACAGCTGGGCATTGTTCTACTTAGGCAGAAGTTCTGAAGAGGACATTTGCAAGCTCCATTCAACTTGTCACCATTACAATGACTTCCACAGCATGGCACAACTCTGTCATTTCAATGAAAGGGCTGCAGTTCCAAGGCATGACCTCATGATTGTTTGGCAGCAGCCACCATCTAGAGTTTGAAAACTGAACCATAATCTAGGGGTTCAAGAATAACGCACTATTAACTTAGGAAAAGCACTGCAAGGATACAAGATGTGGGCTATGTAGTGTCTTAGAATATGATTGGAAACAGTAGTTAACTTCTTGTAAACAGATCACTTTCTAACAGGTGTACAGCAAAGTATCCTTCACTTCACCATACATTCAGCAGTGTGTATATTTCAGAAAAATATTCTGTGTCATGTGCATAAAAATGTGTATGTCCTACGTGGAGATTGTAATCAGTTCCTCTAGTGTGCCACAGCCAGTAATTTTCATTTTGTATAATCAGAGTAAAGTAGATATCGCATACCCCTACACAGTGCTGTACATGCTTTTTTCTGTCTTGTATAGGAATATTGTGTGAAGTAGCAATAATAAGGCTTCTCTGAAACCTAGGCCTTTGAGACTTTGACAGAATATAAGCACTTCTGGTTGGATTAAGCTGTGCCAACTGTTTTAAAAACAAAATGTTAACAGTAATCTGTCGCTTCTGGAAAAAGACCTAGTAACTGGTCTAGCTACAGGCAACACAACCTGTATATCCCTCCTACACTTAGATCATTTCGGACTGGAAAAGGAAAATCGGTAAGGATAGTAGAGGAGGGGTTATTTCAAACTGGCCATTATGAAGCAGTGCATGTGACCCAGCCCAGCAATCTCATAGATGCCTCTGGGACAGAAGGCATCAGTTGCAGACACTGCAATTCACAAATACACCAATGGTAGTAAACTGAGTTATGTTTACATATACTTACAATTTTTTCCCAAAGCTCTGCAAACTCACATATTGAACTAGAAAATTTCATAGCAGCAAGAAGTGAAAAAATAAAGTTGAACTGCCAATTTCTGCATTTGGAGCCTAACTAGCAGAGAGGTAGGTATTTGGTTACATGTATTCATTGGTGAACGTTCCTAATATCTATTGTGGGAATATAGTACAAGCAAAGGAGAACATGAAATCAAACTGTATCCCTAATTAACAAAGCGGAAAGAAAAATTAAGCTCACATATGCACCACAAACAGGGAAATATGTAATGACCAAGTAAGGAGCTGATCCTTTTCTAAGGAACTTCCCGGACAACTGTTCTACACAAAGTTACCTGAGGAAATTATGATGGAACTCTGTATTTTAGTCTTTAAACTGCTCTAACATTGGAATAACCTTTGAATATGTAATGTAACTTCTTTAAAAATGAAAAATGCTAGCAGCAAGATATAATTGTTTTCATTAAGAATTTTTAAGCATAAACTTGGGCCCATTTTTTTCATTTAATTTCACCCACAACAACTTAAAGTTGTAGTATTGGGCTGCAAACCTCTGCACAAATTTATGGCAATATGTTCCAATAAAATGAAAGGAACTCACTTCTGCACATAGAGTTGGAAACAGTGTGTGTACCTGAACATGAAGTTCTTGAAATGTTCACTTCATAAGCCAGTTCATCCAAGCTGAATTATGTTTCTCAGTTTTAAAAAATCTAGATAATTTGACTTAAAATACAGCAAAATGTACATAAATCATCACTACTATTCAAAAACAGCATACACTGGAAAATAAAGCTTGTCCAACAAGGCTCAGATTTAAAACACAAAGAGGCATTAATGCAGATTGTAAATGACATCCTGCAATAGAGCTTGAAAAGGCCATTCTTCATCCTCACACCGGTTGAATTCCTGTGCATGGTTCTGGCAAACTTCTCGATGTCTTTCTCAAGCAAAAAAAAAAGGCTGGGGTTTGGTCCACTGCAGAACAATTACTCTCCAAGGCCTTGTGTTGACTGGGTGAAAGTGGAAAGCCAAGAGGACATGGCTGACTTTGCGCTTGTAAAGGCTCCTCCAACCGACTGGCCTGTATTTTAAGGTGTAGGATTGGAGGATGGGGATGGAAGGAGGAAGGAACATTGGGCAAAAACAAGTTAGAGAAGAGATATCGACAGGATGATCCTATATATGTTGCTCAGAAGTAATTTCCAGCAATTTCTGTGGGACTTCCTTCCAGGAAAGTATATATATGATTGCAGTACAAGAGAACATTCCTGTGCTTTTAATTCTCTTTAACAGGCAAGAGGTCTGAGACAACATTTAATCTGGCTATCTGTGTTACACTCTTTTGGATACAAGTTGGTTCATTTCCTGTCTAAAACAGAATATATGTAATAAAACACTGTTTTCTCAAGCAGTAACTACTGCTTCTAATGCCTCAAACTATGCAATCCTTTTGGGGATGGAGATTCTGTAGTTGAGCAGAAATCATCAAGACTACTCAGAAAGTAAGTAGAAAGTAAGTTACAATAGCTTTGTCAAATCTGGAGTCATCCAATGCCTTGGATTATAACCCCCATCAATTAGCCTGGACAATGGAACAGGGTAAATGGGGGAAAACAGGTCTATTAGAAGCTATAGGGAAGAGGCCACAGCTTTAAAAACTGGCACCTTGGGCCCAGATAGGTGTAATACAACATCCTTGGTTGACTCTATGGACAAGGAGGAGAAAGAGAATGAGTCGGGAGATGGTTGCAGCTGATTGCACTAGCAGAGGCTCCATTACAGTTCTGTTCGACATGGAATGGCTCAGTTACCTTCTAGTTAAACCTTTAGTCACCAGAGGTAGCTATGTTGGTGTTTTCTTAGCAGAGATAAGCACAGGACCATGGAAATTCAGCTGTTACTCTGTATGTGCTTGTAGCATGAAATTGTCAGTTGGTTTCTTACCTACAGCTCTTCCTGTCTGTACAACATTTCGACTGGTAGTAACCATGGCATTTCCAATCTTCTTACCTCGTTCGCTATTCTGAACAGAACTAAACAAGAGGAAAATGATGGCATTATCCAACTGACTTACAATTTCTAAGCATGTGGTGCTGATCATATCAATTAATCATGGTCAAATGCACAGCCTGGCTATACGTAGCAACTATTTAGCACTGATCTAGTCACTATCTTTAAAAGTCCTGGATAGTTACACAATATTGAGGACTGGACTGAATCACAATACATTTAAATGGTAATAATCACCTCTCAGAGTACAAAGCTCAAATGAAATGAAAACTTACAGATTGAACAAAACATTTAAAAGTACATTCATATACAATACTTACTGTGATAATCTTAATTTCACATCCGAAACAGAGTACTGGCCCTGGAAAGGATGACTAAAACATTTAGGAGGAGGGAGGGAAGACAGAAGAAAGGAGAAAAGGGGGGGAAAGGGTCACTTTTAATTTCTCAGCTGTAACAATAAAAACAGGAACTAGAAGTAATTATCCTTTTACCCGACCAGAAACATTAAAATACTTTCACTCCTATTTTGGTAAGCTTGCATTTGGGGGAGAGGCAGATTTCAAAATATCTGGCATTGCTTCATCTCCGGATTTCTTCCTTTGGATACACCCAGCTTCTTGGAGCTCCTTCTCCTCCATGCTGTCTCTTCCCCTCCTCTCTCCTGTCCCCCTTGTCTCCACTATCCTTGCACTGGTTGACCACTAAGACACTGCAGGTGGCAGCAACCCATGCAGGATCATATCTCCAGGGTCTCAGCTTTTCCCCCAGTACTTCTGCCTTCATGAAGCCGCTGTATACAGTGGCTTAAACTAGTAGCCAAGTGCTTCTGCCTCTTCTAACAGCAGCTTAAATACTTTTAGGCAAGATTGTGCTGCAATGAAGAAAGAACCAAATTTTTAGGTAGAGAGCCTCTGAAACTAAAAGCCCCAAATACACCCCAGAAGCGTAAACATTATTTGCTTGATGCAACATAATGCCAAGAGTCCATATATGCATTTTGGCCTTGGCCAAGCTAATTTTGGAGGCTCCAACTGCCTGGATTGTGTTGTGTTTAGATGAAAATAGCACTTCCAAGACTACACAAGAAAGCGAAGTCTGGAACCTCTCTTCTAGCATGAATCAAACAGAGTAGTGCTCTCTGCTTTCTCTGAAAACCATTCTGCAGACTGAGCAAAACATCTGAACATAATACTGAGAAGAAAAGCTTCAAGGAGAAGGAACAACTAACAGCAGAAAGGTGAAATTTGGAGGCCTGGTATTAATAGAAAAGCTTAGCATTCTAGTCTGCAGTTCCTAGAAATCAAACAGCAGCCATAAACAGCCACAGATACTCAAGAATCCATCCCTTGTGGCTCTCAACAAGAAAGGAGAGGCTCCTTCTGGAATAACGGCACCAACATGACAAATGACCCTCAAATAGTACTTCTTTCAGGAATTACTTGTCATCTCTACAGGTGCTTTCTCCCCCTAATCCTAGACTGGTGCCCTGGACTGTCAGCAAAACAAGGATTTCTTCCTGTACATTTTAAAGCTACAAAGCCAATCACATTTGGATGCATACTAACAGCACTAAGGACAAATGAAGACCAGGCGGGCAGCACTTGCTGTGTGCGTTGCAGAGGGGATTCTATCCCATCAGGAATGTTCCTCGCCAGGACTCCCCTCATGGTCAAAACAGAGGGAGGGGCTTTCAGCACTGATAAAAATTTTAATTAGAAGGAGCCCCACATTATGGCTGAGCTATACTGGTGCTTGCTATCTTCTTAATAAGCTCCCCCGCTTCTTCCCTACAAACGATATACATTTTTTCTTACCTAGGATTCACCTCTGCAAGAGCTGGGTGTTTGTTGCTGTTCCACACTCTGTAATTATGTGTATTCTTCCAAGCTGCTACAAAGGTTGTTCCAAAGTCAGACAATATTTTTTCACTGTCTGATGAATAAAACAGGTGGAGAAGTGAGTCTGCAAAGTCTGCATATGTGTATAAGAATGCATATGCTATCTTTTTAAACAAAAAAGAACGTGTGCACTGTAAATGCGATGCAGGATAGTAACAAATAGTCAGGGACAGTGCTGGGGTACCCTGTCTCTGACCATGTCTCTAGCCTTTGTTGCCATTTTCAGAACCGGGTTCTCCACCGCCTAGCACAGAGCTAGGTCCTCCCCAGTTATATATATGCCAAGCTACTGGAAGAAGCTCCTCCACAGTTATTATTCCAATGACATGACATGATGGCTGTGTGCATCACCAGACGTGAACAAAAACACCACCCTTACAGGTCACCCCATCCTTGGCCTGGACTAACAGGATAAGAGCACATGGCTGGATTTAATAAAGCAAGTCTACAAAAATAACCTCAAACTCAAGCAACAGCAAGCAGAACAAAATAGTTTTGCCATGTTTTGTTTTCCAGTACAACGCAGGAGGCAAGAACTTTTATATTCAAAAGATCAACTCTTCCTGGGAAATGGAAGGCAGTTTAATTTGTGAAACCAGCAGGAAGTGGCAGTGTACTTTATTATTATTATTATTATTATTATTATTATTATTATTATTATTACATTTTTATACTGCCCATAGCCAAAGCTCTCTAGGCAGTTGACAGCAATAATCATAATAGCCACCATGCTGGATCATATCGAAGAGCCAGCTGGTCCAGCATTCTGCTCACACAGTGGCTAACAAGGTTCACAGAGTTCAGATGAGAACTAATCAGAGGCTGAAATGGCGTTGGAGATGTGGCTCAACTGCTTCTTGCCATGCACATGTCTCAATACATAACTGCCACATAACACAAAAATCCCACTTGGACTCAGGGAATATCAACTCCCCTCTCCCCAGGTTGATGGGGTGATGCCAACCACAAGGTAGTAACTTTCCCAGTTGTTGGCCATCATACCAGGAGCGTCCACACTGGAAGTTCCCCCCACTTGGTGAACTTGGTGTGGCTGAAAAAATAATATAAGGTGTACACCTCCTCCCTAACCTTGGCAGAAAAAAAAAATATGTGGCTGTAATTTAAATTCTTGTCCTGTGAGGGTTTAATTTAAACTCTTTCTAGGTGTCTGCTGCAGGCAGTATCTAAATAAAGATAAACAAACCAACTGGGCCAAGTGCCACAAGGAGTCATAAAGCCTGATGTCGTGCATCACGAGAATCCCAGTTCTGCAACACTGTCAGGTTCAAGTCTTGCCTCTGCCATAAACTTGGTAGGCAGCCTTGGCAAGTCCTTCTTCCTGTTAGAGCAACCCTGTGGATTCCTAATCAACAGTGCTATGGCTGCAGAAGAGGAGATGTGATTGAGGATCTTCGCCCCTCCACACACCTCCTTCCTGTCTCTGTGGAATACTGCTCCTACAAGAGCACAACCCTGTAAGAGAAGTTAGAGAAGGAGAAAGGGGAGTATGCAGGTGGGTGGGGAGAGGCAAGAGAAAGAGAAGACAGAATCTACAGGGTCCAAAGAACTCTCCATTACCCATCCTGCCCGCCAGAAAGTAAGTGTATAAATGGGAAATAAAGGAGGAGCGGGAGGTTTTGCATCCATCTTCCTCCTGTCCTGCTTTGATTCTGCCAGCAGCATACAGGATAGGCAGAGGACTCCAATCTCAGAGTCCCTGCAATTCCCTAGGATTGTGCTCTTAGCTGCAACCCCTTTCTGGGCATGAATTCAACAAGACAGTAAGTCGGATCCACACACAGACATAGAGTCAGTAAAATAATGAGACTTTACTTCCAACTTGAGTTACAATAGACCTATTAAAGTCAATGCAACTACTATTAACTGCATCCATCCTGCTGTATAGGAATCACTTTAAACAATCGTAAGGTATTAAACTGATCGAATAATGTATGAAATAGTTTGACAAGGAGGTAAAGGAATGGCATGTGGGAGCAACTGGGATACAGCTTGTGAAGGACATGGAAGCAACTTGCCCTGCATGTCCACAGCCAATGGCAGTTTTGCCGGGCTCTCCCACCTTCATGTGATATCACAAAAAAACACTTCAGAAAAGAAGTGGCGGAGGGTCAGTTTGGAAGATGAACAGGCTCTCCAGCAGATACTTTGCTTCCTGAATGGTAAACTGACAGATATATATGCTCGTGTTGGGATGACGGATCATGAGAAGCCCACAAGTAGGACGCAAGTGCAATAGCACCTTCCCGGTCACGTCCCCAGTAAATGGCACACACAGGCACAGCACAACCATTCTTAATAGCACCCATGGACTGGCAAACCCTGAACAACAGCAAAACTTCCCATTCTAGGACCAACTAGGCCAGAGACCATTCCCTGGATTGATTCGTTCTTGTTCCCTGTGATCTCTTCTAGTTAGCTGTTTGAGTATTTTGAAAGATTAAAGGAAAGGGGGAAAGGAAAATAATAGTTTACAATAAAATCATAAATGAAACAGTAACCTCAGAACTTACCCGGCTGTAGAGTAGCAGCAAGCAGTGCATGGAGATATGAGCCAAACTGGGCCCGAATCCACTCATCTCCTCCTTCCCAGCCAGTGCCATCCAGGAATACATCATCCCTGTTGTCAGTTACATGCTTCACTAAGAAGTCTGCAAATCTCAGGTCAGCAGTAGTAGGATTCAAAACCTTCCTGAGCTCTGGGTCATGGACCTGGACAAGAGCTTCCTCGATCTGTAGAGAACAATCCCAAGTGAAAAAGCATGCCAGAGGAAAATAAGACAAGCAGCATGAGCTACATTCTTAAGAGGGGTTATTCATTGCCATTGTATCATGAGCCAGAAGTAATGTCCAGGGCTGTTCCATGTATTCTAGAGATGTCTGCACAATGATTTTGATTCAAGTGGCTAAGATGGCCTATCTATTAACCACGTGTGCACTGCAACTCACCAACACTGATCAACTATTTCGAGTTCTTTCTCCTTGTGATCAACTATAAAGGAAACATCACAAAGTAGAAGCTGTAACATGCAGATGGCATTCAAAACAGTCTTTTCTGGGACATGTGTTTGAGTGCAACGTTTCATTAGTTTTACTCTGGTATTGGAGCAATGCCTAAGAAAGCCTTGCAAATAATTCAAAAAAGCTGTTTGCTGCCAGCCATTAAGGGACAAAGTAGGATGTGGTTACACAAAGAATCTTCCAGTTGGGTCAGATATATTAGATAGTTAAGCAATTGCATGTGTTAGGAGGCTGTTGCCATCTTTATAACCACAAAAGGCATATTTTACAAAAATCTCAATCTTTTTTTAAAAAGCTGAAATTATATTAGAAAACAAGCCTTCTTAGGTTAGCTTCTACTGCACTTAGTACGTACCTTGTTTCTTTGTTCCAAGTGCATTTACAGTGCAGTTGTTGCTATTTTAAGAAGCTGTAATGGGGAAGGATCCATACCTCTACAATGGCATCGCTTAAATGCTTCTGCTGGCGGAAGAGGACGTTGGTGGCTCCCGCAACAAAACCACGAATAGTCACATCAGAGAGAAGATGGTGCTGTTGCAGTGCCATGTATGGCAAACAAAGGTATCCCTGAAGCAGAGAAGGGAAGACACGAATTGTGATCACAAACACAGAAGGCGAAGGCTGGTGGGGTGAAGGGTGTTATTTTAATGAACTTAGAAGTTCTAGTGAGCAGCAAAATGTATAGGGGCTTTAACTGCTACATTAACTGCCACTTCCATGCTATGGGTTCATATGTACAATAGTGACAGTGGAATAATGCTCCAACAGTTTTACTCTCAGCAGAACAGCATGAAACCTAAGCAGGCTATAGAATCATGGTGTTGGTGCAGATTTAATGCCAAACCATGGCCTGGCACTACATGGATGGAACCTGTGCTTGCACACTCCTTCCGTTTTTCCAGCCATGTGCCGATCTGCCCCATTTCTCCCTCCCTATTTAACAACAGAGCTTAGTTATAACGGAAGAGGACAAAATGTGACCGTGAGAACAGATTGCTCTGCCTGCAAGCCCAGTTACTGTGACCTTTAGAGCCTTAGCAATGAAAGCAAAGAGTGGATGTAAAATACTCCCAAGCACATGACAACACAGATTTAAACATGAAACATTCTTCTCTGCAGATCTCCCTGGAAGTCATCATGGTGGTAATGGAAGGGAAATGTTTATAAAAGTGAGTAACCATAGAAGAATTACAGGGAACAATCCTTATGATACAGTGTTACCCTATAAAAATTGAGTGGATTTTTAAGAGAAGCTGCTATCGGGTTTTCCAGTTAGAGAGTTGCACAAAATTCAGATTACAGAGCAATCAGCTATGCTTCCTGTACTTTACAGAGTTTGTGTTCTTATGCCATCAATTATACCAGTTATTTCCAGGAAAGTTTACTATTTTAAGAAGTCTTTGAACTAAATGCTTTTATGTAGATTACACCCTAATTTTAAAGGATGCTATTGAACACATAATAGTTTACAATTATAAATGGAATCAGTAACTCTACCCCACTTCCAGCTGTTGTTATAAAAGCTATGCTGTTTACTTGGAACAGTACAGGCACATAAGGCCAAAAACAAAACAAAAAAACCCCCAAAAAACCAGCATTTGGGCATTGTGTCATTTAATCTGGAGAAAGATACAAGAATTCCTAAAACATAACATTTGAGGACTACAGAGAAGTGCTTGTAGTATTCATTAGTCCTCCAGTCTATTCACTATCACAGTATCAACTTCCTGCCTGATTTGCAAAAGCCACTAACATAGAAGATGTTAAAGGGATTAAAGTTATTCATGATAAGACTTATTGGGGCTATAAGACATAGCAGTTAATGATTTTACCCAGATGTTCCACAGGCCTCTTTATTTCTCGGTACATAACCCTGATTGGCCTGGTTCCCACATAACAACACTACATGTTTTTTACCTATAGTTTCTTTATTTACCAAGGGTTTAGCTGGTAGGCAACCAAATAAACCATGGGTTGTTTTCTCAGACAGTGGTTGTTTGCTTGCCTTAGTAGGTTCAGAGCACATATGGGTGGTGCATTTAGACCACAAGAAACAACTCCCATTCTCCTTCAAACTCTGGTGCTTGGACTCTGCCTAATTCATCCCTCTATAACTGTGGTAAGTATTTTAATTCATTCCAAGCTTTTCATGATTTAGATTTTGGCAGTCACTATCCAAAAATGAGACTGACTAGGAAATGGCTCCTCACCTTTTGAAAGGGCTTAATTTTTTTGAGGATTTATTTACTATTTAAGAGAGGAATTACCTTGGTGAAGACAGCTAATGGCATGCCATACTGGTCCTCTTCCAAGCCAGATATAAGTCCAGGAACAAGCACCGTGTGCCCTGAGTTAGGCTGCGGCTGCACAGTAATGGGAATGCTTTCAGAGACTGCAGCTTCCTTTAGAAGGACTTCATTCTCTCCTGCTACTGCAGTAATTTCGTGTTCTCTTTCTTTCAAATTAGCATCCTCTAGAACACTAGGATCTAAGGTTTCCCAGTCACTTTCAGAGGACTCTGGAGAAGTACGTGAAGGAGGCTTCAAGTGCTGCCCAGTGTCCCTGGCGGCCTGCCTTTCACTGAAATTGTCCTTGGTCTGCAACACAGGCACATCCACCTTCTGAGAATCCCCTTCTTGCTCTCTTGATAACGTTTGGCCTTCCTCAACCATTCCCAGGTTTGGGTTTGAAAATGTCACAGCAGATAGAGAAACATAATCCGAAGGAGGTGGGACTTCCTTCTGGTCAACACCCTCCGATAGGCTCTTTCTTGGCCTGTACTGTGAACAGTCAGTAAGACCATGCTCGATCATACCTAGAAATTATAGAATGTCAATAGCACCATGGAAAGCAAGTTTAGTACATTGCATACTGTGTTGTGTACACTTCAACTCCATATTGGAAGGGTCCCTTCTCTCTAAATATATTTAAAGCTTCACACTATAGTTTTCCACACATACCTAAATATATCATACTAGTAATATCTTTGGACTTTTTCAGACACCACGTTATTCCTCAATGGAGAGAAACAACTGAGTGGCTTTTGCAACACCCTCAGTTTGCATATCTCTGCAAGTATGACCATTGCTTCTAAATCAATTATTCCCAGCAGTGACAGCTGTTTTAAGTACCCCAGAAATTGCTATTATGAGGCTAGGAAGCAAAACTCTTACAACTCATCTGTATGCCAGTTGCATGAAGAACCTATATCTGCATTGGTTTGTGTGATTTATCATTCTGAGGGATTTAAGCTAGTGCCTGTAGAGGCTAGCGTCACTATTTTGAACACCAAGGATGGAAAGAGCCACCCGCTTTTCTTATTTTCCCCAAGAAGTTATGGACTTGCACTCTCTTAGCTCTCCACCTAAAGTTCTGATCCTCATAAAAAGTGTACCTCCACCTCTTCCATTGCATAAGGGATGGGTTGGGTCAGATGATGACACACAAGAAATCCTGCTGTGTAAGTTGCTTCCTACATACAATATTAATTGCTATAAAATTGCTTCCTAGAGCACAATATTAATTGCTATAAAAAGCCAATCCATACTATATTCCACTTGTTCTGCAATTTATTTCTCTGTGCATTGTCAACAGCTATAACCACTGGGTTGTTGTTGTAAAGGCATGCACATGTGTTTAATAAAGGAAACAACCATACAACTGTATTTGAAGATCTTTTGTATTTGAAGATCTTTTGTCTGGCTTAACAAATGTTACGGAAGAGAGCCAAGGTCTATCTTGTCTAGCATTTTGTCTAATTTCATCACTGTGACCAGCCCAAATGCTACTTGGATGTGGGGAGCGGCTGTGTCTCAGCAGAAGAACACAAGCTTTGCATGCAAGAGGTCCCAGGTACCATTCCAGCAATCTCCATGAAAAAAATGTCTGAAAGGCCTCTGCTAGTCAGTGTGGACAATATTTGGCGAGATGAAACAATATCTGCCAGATAAGGCAGCTTTCTATGTGCCTAAGTCTATAGGCAGGACATGAAGAACACCCTCTGCTGTACTTCCCCAACAGCTGCTGCTCAGGGCAAGCCTCAGTACTGTGAGTTCTCATGTACTGGTCTAATGCCCTTTAAAAGTGATCGAAACTGGTGCTCATATTCAGTATAAGAACCTCCTATTTTTGCTATTTGCATTTATTCATGTATGCAATTCATCTTAATTTGTTTAGTGTTGGTCATTATGTGTTGTAATATGCTATCTTTAACACTTTTGAATATGTCCATAAAAACTTGAACATTAAAAACACTCTCACCAGGAAAGAGGGATAAGACAGTCATGAGGGCTCCCACCAACCTATTCACTGGAGAGATGTAGAATAGAACCTGAATGAGAAAAAAATGACAACAATAACTCCTGGAGGAGGAGAAGCAAGAGGAAGAAAAGAAACCTTGTTCCCAGTACTGATCTCTAAGGCTCAAAATGACAATGGCTCATGGAAAACACTACTATGACATAAGCCTCTGGGGCTTTTTTTATAGTCTGTGCAGGTAATACTTCCTGAAAGAGTTTGGTCCCAGGTCACACAGCCTTGCAAAATGTGGTCCTCCAGAGCTTTTGGCCTACAACTCCCATGGGTCCTCACCACTGGCTCTGCTAGCTAGGACTGATAAGAGTTGCAAGCCAAAACAGCTGAAGGGAGAAAGGTTGTCCACGCTTGGTCTAGGTCTGAGCCAGCATGACCATTAATAGAGAAACCGTCATCTTCTCTGAAGTGCAAGCCCTCCTTTGCCTCATGAGAGATATTTACTCTCTCCTCTTCTGCAATATCTGAAAACTAAACAAGTACTGGTTATAAAACTGCAGTCCCATGATCCTATGCAGCATCTGATGGGCGAGAAGAGGCTTCAGATTCCTATATCTGCGTCTGGAGATAGCATGCTAAACTCAGAACTGTGAATTGGAGCACAGGCCCTCTTTCTGCTCCCCACCAATGTGGAAAGAACCATACTCGCTGCTCTCCAAGTTCAAGGTTTGAAAGGGGGGGGGGAGATGGGCTAGGAGCGCAGGCGACTAGGATTTGTGTTATCCTGAGACCTCCCCAGCTTTCTTCCCTCTCAACCTGAAACGCTGTCATTAGCTGTGCAAAAAAATCCCATCTAGTGAAAATTTGGGGCAGGAAGAGAGAAAGGGAAAGCTCACCTCCACTGCTCCTTCTACCTTGCACAGCCTCTGAATTCAGGGGCTTACGACCATTGCAATAGGATTCCCCCCTAAGTAACCTCTCTGCCCCCAGCAAGGGCTGAAGCTATGAGCCAAGGATATAACCACCCCTTCCACAGGCTGCTGAAATAGAAGTAAAGCAGTGCTCCTCATTTGATATCTTCCTCTGCAAGGATCAAGGAAACACTCCCTAGATTTCCAGAGCTTTAGAACTGGATAAGCAACAATGGAGCAGTGGGAGTATTACTTTCTTGGAATGCTCTCAATTTGCATATTGGGACTCATCAAAAGTTCAGATGAATCATCTTCTCCATATTTCTGTAGCAATAATAGCATGCAGCGCTTGAACCATCTATCATTAGTTTCTTAGTAAGTGCAATAATTGCAGGAACATAAATTAGAAGACTTTACAGAGCTTAAACTGCTGCAGTACACTTTTATGAAATATAAACTTCTGCTTTACTCAGATTCAGATATCTTATTTTGGATGTCCCTCTCTCTCCTTCCTATATTCACATTTTCTGCTCCAAGCCCTCCCTCTTTATTCTAGAGATATTACTATTTTCTGGCCAAGCAACTTATACAGAAGCTCAACAGCCATCTCTGAATAGTTACATATCGGTAGAGATACAGCCACACCACACTTTTAGCAAAGTCTGCTTACCTTTGCTCTGGCAGCTACTGCTGCTGAAAACATTTAAAAACAGCAACAGAAAAGCAATAGAAGCCTCACCATACTAGGTATGTGTGGGATTGTGCACCTCATTGATCCATAGAGGTCATGGATACACTTTGCAGTCAACGGTATGATGTGTGTTCATCCATATTAGGTACATGGCTTAACAAGTCCATTTCAATTTTTTCCTGTCACTTTAAAGAGACAGAGGAAAGAACTTACCTTTTTCTCTAGAAGAATCAGCTTAAAAAGAATTAAGACCTTCAAAACAAAAGGACACAGAGCTTAAAAAACACCAGCAATTAATAAATTCATTGTACTTTTATTCAGATTTCCATTTGATACTTCATAAATGTATAATAAAAGTCCTAGCAATTATAAACATGATCATGTTTACTTATATGTGTAACTGACTTTTCTGCTAAAATGCTCAAAGCAGCTAAAAATACAGATGGAATAAAAGAGCTCATAGTAACAGCAATCTCCCCTAAAAACATTAACACTTACATGCGGCCTTTCTGTTTTAACAAAAACATCAAACAGAGCAAACATTCTTGATGCAAACCAACAACAATTTTACGTACATTAAAAAACTGACAAAAACAAGCTAAACAGGTAAACTAGCACCAGACATGAGCAAGGCAAGCATAATCAAATTCGGAAAAGTTTAAAAGTTTAGCAGAATATCAAAGGAAAGACCAGGGCGGGGCTTTCCATAATCTAGGCACTGCAACAGAGAAAAACCACAGCTCAATTGTAACTGAGAACCTTCCAGTCAGTGGAAGGTCAGTGGAACAGGAACATATAGAAGACGCTTCTTTAAGCATCTTAGCCTCAAGTCATTGAGTGCTTTAAAGACAATAACCAGCATTTAGAGTTGAACCTGGCAACAGACCAGTGATGCTGAAATTTAAAAAACCAAAGTTTTGCTGCCAAAGCTATTCAAAGGCAGTGCCCACATACAGCAATATTGCGGTAGTCTATCTCAAGATAGCTAAGGCTGTGTGACATCAGCCTGGTCCACTTTCTCCAAAAAATGGGCACAGCTGATGCATGGCCATAAATTAATCAAAAACATTCCTGGTCCTATCAATCACCTGCATATTCAGGAATAAATCCAGGTCCAGGAGCCTCTCAAACAGCAAACCCGTTTTTTTGTTTGTTTGTTTTTAAGGAAACCCATCAAAAGCAGGCTGGATCTCTATCCTTGGATCACCCATCCTACCAACCATGGGCACCTCTGTATTGCTGGAATTAAACTCATATCCAGTCTAAGCAACCAATCACCCTTAGAGCAATCACTTTTACTGAACTTAAAATGTATCGCCAAAACCTCATTGGAAAAGTTGCATTTTCACTGGTCATCAGAAGGAGAGCAAAAGTGTTTCACAATTTGGCATCACTCTAGAGAAAGGCTGTGTCCTTTCTGACACATTTCTGGAGGCTGAAAAAAATGGAGCAAGATGTCTGATGCTGATCTTGCATTCAGATAGCTGAAGAACAGCAGCCCACAGGAGCTTATCTCACTCCAAGGCCCTTTAAAGCTTTAAAATTCAGTCCCTGAAATCCAGGTATTTCCCCTGGATTCAGCTCAGTCCACAGTAAGGCAGCACCAACAGTATGAACACCATTGATCTTGGGAGAGAGTTTACTAGCATATTCTCCCAACATTTTTCCCAGCTACTTTGCTAGCAAATTCATAATGATCACTTGCATTAAAAAATTAAGGTATACATAAGAAATGCTACTAGCACTTTGAGCTGAGCTTGGAAAGACACTGACAACCAGCAAAGATGGCATAATATCCGAATAACATCTTCAGACCTGTATGTTTTACAGCAACATTTTTAGCCAGCTAGAATTCCTGAATTATGTGGAACATATTAAAGCAGATGTGAAAAGGCCATGAATGACAGTGGCCAGGTACAGGAAAGATCAGTGGTGATACACTAACTGAAGCTGGTAAAAGCAGTATGAGCTTCATGGTTTGGCATTTGTATAAATTAAAATTGTGCATACTTTTTAAGACCATTTTTCCACTGCACACATGGGAAACATAATTAGGATTGTACAGTTATTAATTTGAACTTTTGCTATCACAAAATTTATCAGGGATATCTAAAATTCTTGTTCATCCTAAATGGATAACAGGTCTTTCAAATATTAGGAATCCATAGCATGAATATGTATAAGTTCATTTCTCTTTATGTCACATATGTACAGTCTTTATTGGGTCAAAGGTTGTGCAAGAAAGGGGGTTTTTAACTTCCATCCCTGCGGCTAATAAATCTGGCAGTGAAACACAACTATCGTTTAATAACCAAACTATCCCATCTATTCTACAATACATATTTTTAGTTTATGCTCCTCATTTTGTGCCATCCCTCCCCATTTTAACCACTTAACACACCATCACATCCTATCTATTTTTTGTCAACCCACTGTATTTGTTTCATCCCATTCCTCTTTAACAAGTGTCTCCGTCTTATTTCCTCTATTTTTGTTTCATTTTCTATCATCCAGTTTATTCATTAAAATTTGCAGGGTAACTCTGGCTTTGACACAGCGCAGGATCTAGCCCAGCCTCCATCAACCTGGGGCCTTCTAAATAGGTTGAATAGGACTCCCATCAACCCCTGTTTAGCAGGGCTGGTTGCCTTGCTGGCTGGGAATTATGTGTGTTGTTGTCCAAACATTCCTGGTGGGCATCAGGTATGGGAAGGCTGGGCTAACAGTTAACCCCAGGAAGGAATGTGCATATTATAACAACATACAGAAGTTTTAAGCTATTTAAAAATTATGATAAAATGCAAAAGAAGCTTAGAAGCTGCATACATTATGCACCACATTCATGTAATGAAGAAACATACCTTATGTCTAAAGTGAAGGACAAGATCTCGTGGAGACAGACCTAAAAATAAAATGAGCAAGACAGTTGTCACACCTCAGTAAGAGCAAATGACTTACATCCCTGTTCGTAGAACTCATAATGTCAGATATGTGCCCGTTTATTATATGTATACCAGGAACTGGCAAACGGCTTGGTTCACTGACCACAAATGTGAATTGGATTTTAACTAGCAAGAATAACTGCCTTTTCCCATCAAATCTAGCAGAGAAGGAATAGGAGGAAGGAAAGTTGCATGCCCTGCTCCTACTAATACACCTTTAATCCAATCCATTGTTTCTGAACAAACACCATTTGGAGGAGACAGCTAAGCAATTTACTCCACTGAACAATTGGCATGCCAAAAAATCTATGTAAAAGGAGAAAATCTCAGCATTTATGAAGCATTGCAATTATACAGGCCCATGACTGAAGGGAACAGTAATCATAATAATTAGGTGATTATTCAGGCACACAGGTTTGGCATTAGACTTTATATGTAGTGAAGTACTTTATTAAGTGAAAATTGGGCAATTATGTGTCATTTAAGAAACACTGCTTACCAAGATAAACTTGTGACCCTTCCAGTGAGCTTCCTCCAAGTGAGCTATTCATATGCTCATAAAGCTCCTTAAAAAAAAAAAAAATCAAAGCATTAACATTACTTTTTTAAAGTCGGCTACCAGAAAGTAAATGAAAAGGCTAGTCTACTTCATGCAATAAGGACCTGCCAAAAGGCTACTACTAAGAGCTTTGATGTTACTTTTAAAGCATTCCTAAATACATGAGCATCAGTCCAGTGGACTCTTATAGGCCTGGGCTAGGATACAAAGGACTTCTTTAGGTGTAATGCAGGGTTTTCACGTTTCCAAAGGGATTTTTCAGTTCATGTATATGTACATGCATATGTGTATTTGTGCCATGCCACAAACTCTGGAATATCGTTGCACATCAAAGAGCACCTAGCAAGGGAGCCCTGTGAAGAGCACTGCTTGGGAGATTAAAGCACAAAACTCCCTTAGGGAAGCAGCACTTGCCACAGGGTTCTTTCTAGGAAGAGACAAAGCTGCTTTATTACAGCTCTGACCATTTGTCCATCTAGCTCAATACTGTTCACACTAGGTTGGATCCAGAGTTGCCCCTGTGAACTGAAAGGCTCCTTCTGTTGGCTGTGGGAACTGGGTTCCAACGGAGGAAACGAGATCTGGCAGATGCTGCAGGAAGGGGAATGTGCTCTGATTTTTAAGCCTATTCCTTCTTCCCTCTGCACTCTCAGTGCTACCTCACACAAAGTTTTGGAAGGCTCTCCAACCCTCCAGAGCTGACTTTTTGGGGAATCAGCAAAGCCATCACTCCCTATCCTTCCTCCAGCAGCAGCTGCTAGCTCACAGGGTTCCAACGTGCTTAACTCTGGACACAATTCACTGATCAGCAGCACCTTTCCAGGGTTCCAGACAATCTGACTTGGAGACATCCAGGAGTAAATGTGGGAACTTTTGCCTCCATATGATCTACCACTGAACTACAGCCCTTCCTCTGTATCCTGGCTATGAAAGCAGAAATCAAATCTGTAAAAGTTAAGCCCCTGAAAGTCAAATTTCAATTGTACTACTTTTACATTTAACTATAGTCCAAACATTTATATTTTTTATGAAGTCTTAGAATTTTATACGGAAAACTTACCTTAAGAATTGATATTTGGGAAAAGTCTTTTTCTTCAAAATAGGCATGTGTAATTAGCTGCAGCTTAGCTTGGAGTAGTCCATACAGAGGCTTGCAAGAGAAACACATGATGTTACATCAAAACAGCCAGGCAGCAAAGAACAGCAACACACATCCTTTCAGTAAGGATGAATGTGATTATCTCAGATTATTGTCAAGCACATTCTCTCAAACATATAACCACATTAGGCAAGAGTTAATTTGTAAAGATTTTGTGTCAGTCATTCAGTCCAGCAGCACTGAAGAAAGCACCAGTTCCTATCTCATCACAGTCTTGTGCTTCCTTAGTGTAGATCAAAGTCTTAGGTAACAGGATGCTCAAACAGGATGCTCAAATACAGACAAAACAGGGATAAAGGCGAGGAGCGCTTTCTTTCAGCTTCGGCTGATCCATCAGCTGCGTCCCTACCTGGAGAACGACTGCCTGGCAACAGTGACACACGCATTGGTGACTTCACGACTTGACATCTGTAATGCGCTCTACATGGGGCTGCCCTTGAAGACGGTCCGGATACTTCAATTGGTTCAAAATAGAGCTGCCAGGCTGCTGACGGGGACTGGGCGTTATGTTCACATGACTCCAGTTCTCCGTCAGCTTCACTGGCTTCCCATTGAAGTCTGGGCCCAATTCAGGGTGTTGGCGATGACCTATAAAGCCCTTAATGGCTTGGGTCCTGGTTACCTGAAGGAGCGCTTACGTCCATATATGCCCGCCTGCCCCTTGAGATCAGCGGGAGAGGCCCTTCCCCGGGAACCCTTCGTGAAGGATATTAGGAGGGTAAGTACTCAGAGGAGGGCTTTCTCTGTGGTGGCGCCCAATCTATGGAATGCGCTCCCCAGAGAGGTCCGCCTGGTGCCGTCGTTATTTGTTTTTTGGTGCCAGGTGAAGACCTTTTTATTTAAGTGTTATTTTAATTGTTAATTTTATTTATTTATTTTATTCTTTGGCCAGGTTGACTCAAATTATATTGTTTTTATATTGTGATTTATTTATTGTTGTGAGCCGCCCCGAGGCTTCGGCGAATGGGGCGGCATAGAAGCTTCCTAAATAAATAAATAAATAAATAAATAAATAAATAAATAAATAGGTAGATAGATAGATAGATAGATAGATAGATAGATAGATAGATAAATACCTGCTCCTTTTGAGAATGGTATAGTTGCAATGTTTTGACTAGGTAGCCCCAGCTTCAGATCCCCACTCAGCCATGATGCTCACTGGGTGACTTTGGGAGGGTAACTGACTCTCCATCTCACAGGGTGATCAAACGGGGACTAGAGGCAGGGAGATCCATGGACACTGCCCTGGGTTCCATGTTTTACATCAATTTCTTCACGAAAAATATCTAACGTTATAGAATTTAACTTTAGAATCTAACTTCAAAGATCATATAAGTGATGATAATTGGGATTTCACATCATCTGGATGTTAAGTCAGATGTGATTTGAAGAAATATGTTGGGAAAGGGCCTTTTCTGTGAATTAATATGGCTCAACAGACTAGAACTATAAGGGGACTGAGAACTGGGTATATTACTCTCTAGGCCAGGGAAGGGCAACTTGAGGGCCACGGTGCTTCTCAGATCCCACTGTAGCCTACATTCCTGACACCTGCCAATGAAATGTAGTTGGTGGGCAGTAGTGTGGTGGGGAGAAGCAGTTATTTTGCTTTGAAACAAAGCATGCAAGGAGCATGCACACCTTGCTTTAAAGCAAAATCACACTGTTTACATGCTTTGTTTTAAAGACAAAAGCTGCCTCTTTGCTGTTGCTGCAGCTTTTGTGGTGTCAGAGCAGTGGGGTCTGCCAAAAAAAGCACATACAGAAGTACAAATACCCATTGGGGACCATGTTTCTTGCCACTGCTCTAGACTCTGTTTCATTTGTATCCAATGATAGATTTTAAGGATAATATAGACTGAAAAATGCTTTGAACAACAGAAATTACATGTCCTATTTCTCAGACTACACAAAGGTTAAAATGCAATCATAATATGTGAGGTATTAAATTACAATTGCTCTCTTTTTAAGAGTTTACAAATAACAGTTTTAAAAATCATCAAACATAGCATTTTGAAAGATGGCTGGCTCAGAGTTCAATACTCAAACAGCTTTTTTAAATATGAAAATATCCCCCAAACAAGCTGTTTCTAGGCATGTCTCTATCTCTTACCAGCTGGCTTAGTACACAGACACTTTTCTGGACTGTTTCTCGAGTAACATCTGCTTGCCTTACTTTCAGTGCCTTGGAAAAAGGAAAAAAAAAGCAAGCTTTTACTATACATTTATTTATCTGCAGTTAACAACAACATTTTAATGTAGGGATCTTCCACTAAAAGGGCTCCTTTGTTTATAAACTTGACACTGTACAGAAATTAAATATAGAACAGGCTCTGCCCACAGGCTTATGTCTTAACAAACACAAGACATATTATATGGGAAGGAAAAAGAAAGTAAAGGGGGGGTACAGTCAGAAAAAAAATCCAAGGTCAATGGACAGGTTCCTTTGATTTAATTATTATTGGGATACAGGAAAAATCTGTAGTATTTTGAAAAATGAATTTCCAAAGCCAAATGCTTGGAAATTCTATCAACTTTATAGTAATGACAAGGATCAGCCTGCATGCTCTCATTCATGACATGGCCATGCTGGCTGAACGATGCTGACAGCTGTAGTACGTCTTTCGGTTATATAGGACCACATCCAGGGCAGCTGCCTATCTCTCTCCAGACATAGTGGGTTACAGACATCCTATCAGGAATGGAAGAACAGGCAAATAAAGTTCACCCTGTGCTTCTTCTGCCCTGTATAAGACGTTGATGAAGTCTTTTGCACCTACTCCAAGAAGGACAGACTAAGGCACTACTGGAATACTTTCCATTTCAGCAGAGGCTCACTCTTCCCCTCCCTGGCTCACTAGAATGCCCACCCAGCACCAGTTCAGCACAGGGTCACAGAACCTAAAAGCCGCAGCTGGTGCAGAAAGAACCATGCTTGCTGAGAGGATGGAAAGAGGGTGCTCCAAGGTCTCAGCTCTGACTTTGGAACACATTTCTGGGGTTGGTGGTAGGACTCCAACATCTCCTGGGGCCATAGGATTATTCCCTGAACAGACATAGGATAGCAGCCAGATATGGTTTTTTTCCTCCTGATCCACCTTGTTACATACATATGTGTATACATTGTTTTCAGATTTTCATGCCTTTCAATAAAAAAGAGCATTTTAAGCCATGGATGTTAAATGTTGAATTTCACACAACCACAATATAATTACCTTAGCTTCAATCTGCCTATAGCATGAGACACCATATACTGTGTTTCGTTCTCCATTCCTTGGCGGCAGGTGGAAAAACACAGTGTCTGAAATAGAAGAGGAGATGCTTATCACCCTTCTCCGTATCCCCCACAGGGCCAACATGCAAATGAATGTTAAGTTATCCAGGAAAAATGGCCATCTCATGGTATGAGATACCAAGCGAGATGGGCATACATGGATATTTTGCTGCAGCATGCAGGGAGTACTCAATCTGTTTGGCTGCCCTAGGGGAAAAATTTCATTCACCTACCAATAGACCTTATGGGGTGGTGGTGAAGCCCCTCAGACAACAGAGGCAAGGAATCTTGTTCTTCCCCTTAAGAGTTTCCCCACTTGCAGCCATTTGGTTCTGTTTCATTCAAGAGAACTACATGTCTGCTGCCAGAGAACTGGCTGGTTAGTTTGACTCAGTATCGGAAATTCAGCACCACCACTGCTTCTTGACCCTTGAACCCTTTATGCTTATCATTTCGCTATGCTATGGTGACAGCGGAAGCCCTGACTGGAAGAACACTTCCCCCACACCTATACATCAGCCTGCAGACTACATTTTAGACATGATTATCCTGTGCACCTTTGGCTCCCTCACTTCCTTCTTGCCAGTAATGTATGGCTCCTCTGGATTCGAACTGTACTTTGGCCTCACCCTGCTTCCTTCTCATCCTATCTCCACCATTCACTGTAGCCTGCTTTTCATTCTGCTCCTTTAGCTGCTCTGTCTGTTGTCCAGCCTCCCAACCTATACAGGAGACTTTCATCACAAATACTGCCGTGTTTGTTCAGAGTCTCTTCTTGGTTTCCTGCCTCACTCCCTGCCACCTTTGCCTATTTCCATTTCTCTGTCTATTGCCTGCTCTGCACCTTCCTGCAGCTGCTTTGCCTCTAGGCTCCCCGGTGCAGCTTTCCACTACCTGGCAATGCTGGCTGGGGATGATGGGAGTTCCAGCCCACCACATCTGGAGGGCACCTGGCTGGGAAAGGCTGCCCTAAAGCTTTGCTCAGCCAGTTCTTAGGATGCACCTCATGAGGCCTATGTGAGGTCCTCATCCTAGCCAAACCGACATGGTTTGCTTCCCTCAGAGATGCTCAGCAGCAAGCTATTTAGTTGATTTAGTTTCTTGAGTAGCTGAATACTCTAGCCCATGATACTAGCTCAGCTAGTAAGTGCAACAGAAAAGAAATCACCAAGCCAAGCCTCACACCTTAAGACGCACTGCCTGGACCTGAACTGAGACAAACAGAATGCGGAGAAAAATGGTAACTGTACAAAACTTGCTGTCTGCCACTTTGACTGCTGCCTGGGATATGGTTCTCACCCAGCATTCCCTGTTCCCAACTCATACTGGTTCTTAAGAAACAAGTTGCTCACCGAAGTTTATCAGGTATAAAACCTATAGATCTTTTAATGAGAATCTTATGATCAACTGTTAAAATTGTTTAGATGTCTCTGGGCATGCATATGGTCTGTTTATATGTACAGTACAGAAGTTTTTGAGCTCTGAACTCAAAAGATTTTGAACTCTGTCAATCACCCAGAAACCTTTGGCTTTTGGACTGTATAGAAATGTAATAAAGGAAATGAAACTGAAATGTTAACAAAATTTCTAGTATTACTGAATGCTTGAAAGGCACCCTTATAGGAAAAAGTACTTGCTCCCCATAAAGAGCATCTTACACATCTTCAAAGCACCTGTGAACCTCCAACCAACAAAAAAAAGGCAGCAATACTCAGGGGAATGCTTTCAGTGGAATATGTCTGATCGCTTTGTTGTTACTAAGATCGCTTTGGAACAAGTGCCCTTGCTTTTACCAATGCTAGGCATGAATGCTGGTCGCCATAGTAACAGAATGGCCAGCAGCCCTGCTTTGACTGGTGCATTTGACTGTGATATCTGGGAACATTTCACACTCTGCAACTTAATCAGGTACATGTTAACAGGGCGTTAGTTCTAGGGATGGGTTTCTACCTAATTTGCCCAAATCCAGCATACCGTATAATTTATTCTGCTGCACAGAATCTTTGTGGCCACAGGGCCAGAAATTTCACTTTTTTACAGCAAACAAACAAACCTAAAGAAAACTGAAAGCCAAACTAAGCATTACTTCAAATGAGTGGTCCGGTGTTATTGCTTTCAAAATACCTTGCTCTTCTCCCCAATAACAGAAAAGTCTTAGAATTAAAGCAAAAGCTAAGTTCTTCGCTCAATACTCAATTTCACACTTGCTGTTCACCATCAATGACTATGTGCACCCTGGGGAGTTAATCGCAAATGACTTCTTACCTTCTTGATAATTGTGAGCACCATCTGGCAAGGCAAGGAAAGGCAAGTATTTCCATTCCTCTGGCAGAACGTTGCTGTCATGGCCTTCTCCTGGGATTAGGGGAGGGTAGGAGAACTCAACCTGCAAACAGCAAGCTTATGTTATGTGGACTGCTCCATGAGAAGTGCCTTCTGTAAGGAGATGTAAAACAAACCGCTCTGTATGCCACCCTCCATGATGCTTATTTATTTTCCATACCCCTCTCAGGAGACTGCCAAGTAAGTCAAAGAACAGTGTTTGTAGTTGCAAATGGACTAATGGGAACACAGACACACCTACAAAACACACAAAATTATTTTCAGTAGGAGCACAAATGACAAGCAGGATTTGCTGAATAGATCAAATACAAGATGCACTCCTTTGTGCATTTAGACAGGAAAAACGACCTACTACTCCCTGCATGGCATGGCAGACTGGGGAATACTGGCAGTTATAGGACATTTTCCTGTCTATCCATGCAAAAGAGTGTGTCCTCACATAATACAATGGATTGGTTTGCAAATACTGTGTGAATGCAGTTAATTTATAAAAATAACAAATGAAGAAGCATCCCTACGATGCTTCCCTTCTGGATTTAAAATTAAAATCCATTGACCATTCCCTTCTTCTTTACCTTAAAAAAACATCCAAACGGGGAACAAATAGTTGAATATAATTAAATAAGATTATTTCAGATAAGGATTTGCCAAAACCAAAGTTCTATGAGGCTCTTATTCAAAAACACATGAACACACATGTGCACGCACACACACAAATTAACATTAGACTGAAATAATGAGGTGGCCTATCTAAGTCTGTGACCTGCCCAGGGAGCCATGTGGCTAATGGGGCAGGCTAAAAATTTAATAAATAAATAAATAATAGCAGAGCCTGTTCACTGGAACCTGGCTTGTGGGGCAGGCTAAGTGCTAGCACCAGCACCTGGGAAGTAGAAAAGGGATTGCAGAGGAAATATTTTCTAAAGGCGGCTCCCATGTAAGCAAGGGGCTAAGAATCCGGACTCCAAGTGCAAGTGATACAGATAGAAGAATGATGAAAAAGACAGAAGAGGCAAGGAAATTAGGCATGATGGGAGAAGGGAGAGATGCTGAAATGGCCAGGCAAGATTTAGGGGACAAAACAGATTGCCAAAGTGCAGTCAAGGGCTGTAGGATTGCTGGGCCAGGGTTCTAGATTTCAACAGGGCTGCCAAGGTCAGGACTGTAACTTCAAGAGTTGCAAAGAAGATGATACTGAAGAATTTGTCAGTCAGGGTTCTTACTTGTCCCTGCAGAATTGTTACAATGCACATCTGAGGAAGTGAAAAGAGCAATGAGAAGGTAAGAGTGGAGCTAAATTTTATCTATCCATTTGAAATAACCATCAAGCTGCTTGGCTGGAGGCAACTAGTTTTGCTGTATATTGTTATGCAATATGGAACACTATTTAAAAGTGTAGTACAAAACAAAATGGTAGGGAAGGAGTAACTTATAAACCCGCAATACTCTAGAAGTACATATTCAGGAAACTAAACTGAGCTTTACAGTTAAGTTTACAAAATGAAGACCTCCAGTTTTCCTGTGGATCAACTGTTTTATGATAAAGGCTCTAAGATTTTTAGAAGGTTTTGCAAATTCCTTCACCAAAGACACTTAAGCAAAGTTAATAATGAATAGAGGAGAATCATCTAGCGTACTGGTAACTCATTAAAAAACAAAAAGTCAAGAGTTCAAATAAATGATAACTTTTTGTTGCAAAGGGAGGTGAATAGTAGGGACCCACAAGTCTCTGTACTTTTCAATTTGCTCATAAACTATCTGGAATTAGGGGTGAATAGCAAGATGGCCAGGTCTACAATCAGATGCATCAAGGAACTGGAATAACTCCCCTACGTTGAGAGACTATTTAAAATAGGTCTGTAAAAGGGGCATGGAGCATGAAGGATGTATATAAACAATTCTAAATAAACATGCTTCAGCTTGCATTGCATGCATAAATCTATTATCTATAAATATAGTTCAGGATAAAGACGGAGTATTTGTAACACAAACATTTGTCTCCGCATTAGTTTCACCCATATAACAAAGAATATTTTCTATGTTGTCATTACATTGTTTACCCAAAATATTCCTGTCAAAAGTATACTAGAAGCCACTAAAGTATTTGCCAAAAATGCTCTTTCTTTTTAATCAAAGCCTCTAAATACACATGCAAAACTAATCTACAAGCCCTGTATGGACTTCCACAATGCATAAATATTAAAACTTATCAGCAAATGGCAGGTGTCTACCACTGTGAAAAGGTGAGAAATAGCTTGTGGGACTGCAGAGAGCCCAAATGGCAAAGAAGGCAATGTCCCCTTCCCTTGGACAACTTCATGGTACCCAGGTCTAGCATAGCAGAGGCCTGCTCATCACACGCAGAAGTCTGTGCTGTGCCCAAGACAAGGGAATCAGGCTGACTCTTCACAGTCTGCTTCACTTCATAAACTATAGCAGAGATCGTTCAGTAAGACCAAGCCTTTACCACAAAATGGCTTCCACGGAGGCATAGATGGTCACAAAGGACAAGTAACTTGCCCAAAATGGCCTACCATCTATCCTTCGATAGACTGAAGATTTTGCTGCTCCTGTTAGAGCTTGGCATATTGCCATCAGTCTTGTATGGATGCTTATTTATGCATCTTATGGACTACTTACATTTATGGGTATATTTAAAACACAAGAGTTAAATCTTTCATTCCCCTCTCTCTTTCTTTTATATTAAGAGTGCTGTGTATGCTTACTGGATCTAAAACATAAATGGATATATGTTTTATATGTTCTTTCTTTTGGTCTTCTTTTTCTCTAATTTGCAGTCCCCTCCCCTCTTTTTTTTTTTTTTTTGTTTGCTACATATAAAAAAGCCAAAAATGGGAAGGACAGGGCACCTTGGCAGGCATCAAAAAAAGATGTCCGATGGGTGCCATGTTGCCAACTTGGGGTTAAACTGTGGACACAAAGAAGTCTGTCTGCATCCAAGGCAATTCTAACTAAGGAATGCCACTGCAGGGAGTGAGGGAGGCTGTCCATTCTTCCCCTGGAGATGTGTTACAACAAACAGAATGCAGCTGCGGCCACAATGCGAAAACATGAGAAAGGCAAGTCTGCAGGGAACTCATCTGCCTAAAAACTTCTCTGGAAGCAATGGGACTTGAAGAACCCGACCCACTTCCAGCCCGTCCACTTCCCCTTGCCCCACCTTGTCTGTTGAGTACAATGGAGCATGAGCAAGAAGCACCTGAATTCTATCTAGATCTTAAAGCACAAGTGACCACTGAGATACTATTTCAAATCCCATACATTGCTATTATAGTGGTTTCCCTGTGAAGACAGAATCAAAGTGGAACTTAGACGTGACATTTTCAACATAGTGAGATTATTACAGAGAGATAGTACATAGGAAAGAAAAACGAACAACCCAAAGATGACAGAGAACTACAGCTTAGCCATGTCTAAATTATATTATCTCAGAATAATTTAGAAGCAAGGTGGACTAGCTTTCTCACTGGGACCTACTTAAAACCCATCTTTCACAGCTAGCATATTGGGTCTGATAACATTTCAAAATTGAAAACACAATCAAATTACTGAGACAGAAAAGGAACTGATTTTGAAAACTGTTATTCAAAAAAATATTTTCCACAAGCATAAAAATGCACTATGTCAGGAAGACAGCAATTAGAAGTGTGTCAGATTTATTCACACAAATCTGAGTCACACAGATCAACTCTCCCCTGTAACACCTATTTTCTAGTGATACAATTACTCAACTACAATGGTGTCCACTATGCTGCCCAGCTCTATTCAAAAAGCTCACATTTACCTTTAAAGCCCTAAAGTGTTTGGTATTAGAATCTCTTAAGAGCTGTATTTCCTTCCCCTCATTGTAAGACCTTCATCTCATTTTGGAAGCTCTCTTTCAAATCCCACCACTTGCCAACATTAGGTAAACAGGTACCCAGAAGAAAGGCTTCTTGGTTGTAACACCTAGGATGTACAGTAACCTATTTATTTATTTAGAAAATTTCTAGGCTTCCCCATTTGCCAAAGCCTCAGGGCGGCTTACAAATAAATAAATTAAAATACATAAATAGCAATATAAAATACACGTAACTGTATAAAATACGTTGCCCTGGCCAAAAAACTTAAAAATAAAAATAACATTAACAATTAACATGATGCTTGAATAAAAAGGTCTTTGCCTGGTGCCGAAAAACAAATAACGACGGCACCAGGCGGACCTCTCTGGGGAGCACATTCCATAGATTGGGCGCCACCGCAGAGAAAGCCCTCCTCCGAGTACCTATCCTCCTAATTTCCTTCACGGAAGGTTCCCGGAGAAGGGCCTCTCCCGCTGATTTCAGGGGGCGGGCGGGCATATATGGACGTAAGCGCTCCCTCAGGTAGCCAGGACCCAAGCTGTTTAGGGCTTTATAAGTGATCACCAACACCTTGAATTGGGCCCGGACTTCAATGGGAAGCCAGTGAAGCTCACGGAGGACTGGAGTCATGTGAGCATAACGCCCCGTCCCCGTCAGCAGCCTGGCAGCTCTAACCTACCAGGAGAGGTACCTCTGGATTCCATTCCCCTACCACCAATCTAAAGAAGGCTTTATTTAAGTGGTCTTTTTATAATCTTGATTTTGTTGTGTATACTGCTGCTGTTTAAAGTTGGTCTTGTAAGTGCCATTGCTTTTGGTCATGAGTTTATTTTTAGTCTGACTTATATTTATCTTACTTAAACCACCCAGACAGAAAACACACACACACACACATATGCACTAAGGCATAAATAATATGTTAAGTTATTTACTTTCTTGCAAATCGTGCTTATAATTATCATGGGATTATCATGGGATAGTAATAAGAATAACAAAATCATGTAATTTCACCTACTGTACTTATGAACACTATAGGACAGTTGGGAATCATCCTCACTCTTTCAGGAAGGTATTTGCAATGCCCACTTAGCTCCAGCTGACATTAACATCACATATGACAAATTGCACCCAGAAGCCAAAAAGCTGCTCAGCCAATTACAGAATCAGCCTTGAAGTTACACTTGCGTTCACAGTGGACTTTAACAAAAAGTGCACTTTATATTTTATTATCTCAAAAGATGCTAAATATAACTTTTAATGTGTATATTCTGGGAGGTAGAGAGGTTATGTGGTTAACCTGAAAGGGGAAAACACAGAGAACATTAAGCAAAGTGAGCTTCAACGTTCCTAGCACAACTGCTTTTCTATAAACCAGTTATAGAAAAACAATATAATTAGTCTTACATTTCTGAGGAATCAAAGGTAATTAACTATTGTAAAATTAGCTGGAATCCAAAGAGTTACTTTAGCTAGGCCTAAGCAATTGGGAACACCCAGTGGGATTTTTGTTCTGAAACAATTTATACTATATCACAAACTGCTTTTGGTTTCACAACAAGGTAGCCTTCTGTCAGAGGGGCTGATATCCAAGAAATACAACTCTAAAGCATCTTTTGTACCACAGATATAGCTCTGTAGTTCTCAGGATTCAAGTGAGTTTACCTACAAAGAAACCTTCAGAAAGAGGAAACCAACAAAAAAGTAACCATCTGTGTGTTAGATAGGAGATGATAAAATGTAATCACCAAGTCTAAGTTACAAATTGTTAAGCTGAAAGGCAACTTTACTTGGACTTCCTATGTCAAATAGTAACATATTATGGTCAGTTATGACAATTACTGAATTGCCATCCTGGAAACAACTCTAAAATGGAAATTGCTATCCACTTTGACTTCCTTGCCATTTTTCCCCACAGCCAAAGCTCAAGGAAGAAATTACCATTCTTAACATATGACAGTTGATAACTTACATAAGCGCATTAATGGTTCACCAGAAATTATACTGTCAGACTGAGCTTAACATACGAATTATGGGGCAGAGGAGAGGTGTAACAATACAATGTGTCTGCTTATGTGAAGAAAAGGCTAGCCTGTGACCAAATATGTAAAAAGTAACTTTTCAGCTTGACCCCAGGCATAAGCCCCACTTTGTTCTGTGGGTTTCATTCTAAAATAACTGCACTCAGAGCTGCAGCCTTATATTTGTTTGTGACATTTCTTTACAAAACTCAGTTCTTCTCTCTTTGTTCATTCATAATCTGTATTCTACCTTTAAACTAACAGGTGCTGTTTATCAGTGAATACTTGCAACTTGTTCTGCCAACTCTCTTTAAGCTTAGCTGAAAATGTGCACATTTTGCCAAGTTCCAGCTTTTGAGTCTGAAAGCTGAGAAAATTGTTTTAACAAGATAAATATCTCCATGTATAAGTGCAATATGACAAATTGAGTCATTCCTTCTCCAGGGTCTAAGTGCTGCTACTGCCAGATGGAATAATTGAAGACTTACCCACAGAAACAAGGAAGGATTGTCAATATTTGTATTGTTTAAACAGAAAGTCAGCCTCCAAAATGACACTGCCTATATACAAAGCTTGTAAAACATTGTGCTTTATGCACAGCAGAGATTTACAGTGCAATTTTTCATGTGTCTTCTCAGAAGCAAGTCATATCAACAGAAAAGCTATGCTGGATGAAACCAAGGTTCCCTCTAATCCAGCATGCTGGTCACACAGCAGCCATGGGAGGTGCACAAAAACAACACAAGTGCAATAGCACCTTGCAGCTCATGTTCCTTCCCTGGCAAGTGATGTGCAGATGCATATTCCCCACCTCCCCAAACACACACACTGGGGGTAATATGTAGACCATTGGGTACAAATCTACAAGCTTAAACAATATCATTTTAAACATAAAATAGGGGTGGGAAATGCATACCCTTGCATATGTAGCTGATTTCCAATCCTATCAAACCCAGCCAGTACGGCTAGAGGTCAGGGATAATGGAAATAGTAGTCCAACATCAGAAGCACAGATTTTCTTTATAAAGGACACCTTCAAGTACTGTCTTACATACTGAGCTCGTTGCAGATTATGAAATCTACTTCAACAGCAGGCAAATATTCTGTAGCTCAAAACAATAAGCTAGCTAAAGCTTATTGTTTTGAGCATCATATGCCTTGAAGAGGCATCGTATGCCTTGATATGATAGTCCGTCCTACTGCCATCCTGACCTACAGAGCATGATTTGAGGGGCTTGGTGCAGTGGGTGGCACCCTTGGGCTGGCACTGAAGGACAATGCCAAAGGGCACTGCCTGTCTGGTGTTTGCTTGGTGCCCTTTCGGCACTGTTCAGGGCTGGGTCTCTTGGCCACGGGTTGCTGATTTGTTGCTGTATTTCTTGTTTATTGCTTTCTAAATATGATTGTTTTGCTGTTCCTGTGCATATTTTTTAATCTGTAAGCCAACCAGAGAGCCCAGTAGGCTATGGGGTCATATAAAAGTGTAATAATAATAATTTATGTACTTCACACAGGCACTTAACAGACCTTGCCTTGCTTGCAGGCTTCCAGGAAACATAACACTGGCTGCTGTTATGCTGGTGCTGGATTAGATGGACCCAGTAGAACTGGTCTTGTTAGCAGGGAATACTCCAGGGCAGAATCGTGCTCTTGGTGATTAAAGTCAAATGGCAACCCTTTGAAGTTCCTGTCACTGCAGTCTCTCTCCCTTATTTAAATCCCTTCCTCATTAAAACTGTTTTAGCTATGGCCTAAGAGAAACACCATGAGCAAGCATAAGAATAGCTATGCAAATTTAACCTCTGACATACATGTGTATTTGACAATAGATAAGCATTGCCCACAAGGCTATGCCTTTGTATGCTGAGTTGCTTACAGCACAGTCTTATGGATGGAAGAAAGTCCTACTGTGTTGAGTGGGGTTTACCCCCATTAAGTGTGTTTAGGAATGCAACCTTAATGCTGGAACAAGTATCACACTCCAGTTCCATACTCACAATTGATCATGTAGACTAGAAACCATAATCCTCAAGTATAAGTAAAAATTAAAAAGCTGGAAGTAATCTACTACCTTAGTCATTCCACCAACTGTTATGAAGTATAAAAGAATGATCACAGTTTAAATTAATTAAGATAATAGCCTTATGTACACTTCACTAGGAACTATGGAACTTGCATACAAATAAGCATGGATAAGCAAGCTGCATGTTATCCATGTTCAAAACAAAACATAGGGTTACACACAAAAGTTGACAACCAGAGCAAAACAACGTTAACATTACAGAGTACCCTCACCACTCCAGACTTGGGACTCTGAATATGCATGCATACTAATTTTCATCATCAAACCAGATTTTTCCCACCCCCTCCTCCCAATCTCTGCGTTCTAACATCTTGCCTGATGAAAAAACCTGGAAATTTCAAAAACTTGCAAAATTTTAGGATCGTTTAATCGATCTAATAAATATGGATTTTTGGCATGATTCATGTTAGGCCGTGTTGGGGCGGGGAACTATATCGGCATGGATGGATGGATGGATGACCCTCCTCACACACACACACACACACACACACGCAAGATATTTTAGGAAATCACGATGATGTGCACATAGAAGCACGGAAAAAGAAAGGAGGGAGCGAGATTAAAGCCATCATAGGAAAGAAGAACCAAATGGAAAGGCAACGCACTTAGGAGAAGGGTGATGGGAAGAGGAAGGAATCCGATGTGGGAGCTGGGAAAGAGGACGAGAGGCAAGAGGGGCAGAAGAAAGGAAGATCAGCAGGCGATACTGCTAGGGTGGCAGTGGGACGCCAACGAAGCAGAGCCGGCAGCTCCTCACCTGGCAGCCCTTCTTATGGTGGAAGCCGACCACCACGATGTGCAGCACTGGCCCCCTGCAGCCGCCCGCGGTCCGAGGGTGGGGGTCGCCTTGCGCTCTGCCCCTTCGCTCCATGAAGGAGCCGCGGCTTCGGCGGCGGCACCACCAGCGCCGCCCGCCCCGACAGCAGGCGGTTGTTTACAGACCGGCCACGAGCGCTTCCTTCCGCAGCCGAGACGAAAGCCTGACGCCCGTCAGAATGTGCTGATTGGCCGTCACTGCGCATGCTCCAGGTACCGCGCACGCTCAGTAGCGCCCGCTGAAGCCGCGCCGGCCCTCACTCCAAGCCCTGCTCTCTGCGGCTCGGCTTGTCGGTAGAGGACCGGAAGACAGTGGCGGCAAGCGGTATGTTGGAAAACCTTAACGGTCCTGAGGATGACGAGCGAAGACGGGAGCAAAATGAGAGCGCGGAACTCTTGGCAGGCTTTTTAGGGGCCGAGGAAAGCCAGCGGGGCCGGTGTGCGGTCAGTTCAGCCAAGCTACTGGCGGTATTAGCAAAACCAGAGTACAGATGGAGCTTCCTCACCCTATTACCTCAGGCTGGTTCCTCCTGGCAACCAGGTGCCAATGCTCGGTTCTTAAAGGGGCAGTACGCCGCACCGCGAAGCAAGGGCTTCCCCCTTGTGGCGATCCCTGCTTTGGCGACTTCCTGTGCAGCTCAGAGGCGAGCGCATGCTGCACTGTTCAAGAAAGAGATCGCCTGTCTGTAGCCCTTACAGCGATTGCCAGGTTTGCGGTTGACTTTCCTGGGAGATTGCTCTGTCAGTACACACACACAAGCAAGCAAAAAGACATTCCGCCGGCCATAAGATAACAATCGTACATGGCTGCTACAATGAAAAGCATAATTCTTGATGTAATTTATCTGAAGCTTTGTTTAAAGAAAACCCATCCATAATAAGACCATCCTGAGACTCTTGCTAAGAGGACAGTATAGAAAAGCTTTAAATAAATAAGGAAATATATGATAGGGGTTGAAGCATTGTCCTTTTATAAAGGGTTAGTGCCCCTTCTCCATCCTCTTACCTTACCAAAGGTTGTTTTAGAGTCTAATTTAAATTTGTCACTGCTCCTAACATCAGCTCGTGCTTGTTCTCTCCCAGTACAGTTTTCTATATCCAGTTTTGACAATTAGCAAATTGTTGTGAACTCACCCTTTTGCATTGTTAAGACGGGCAAGAGTAGCTCACATGACTTGCAAAAGAGCAGGACTGCAGAGAGAGCCCTATCCACTCCTTCCCTGGGAAAGTGCACTAAGATTAGGACCTTTGAAAGATGCAAATTTTGCTTAAATCTATGGGTTTCTATCAATTAGGATCCTTTGTATAGGTGGTTTTATGCCTCATGTGCAAATCTCATGGGCAAGAAGTTGCTGTGATGGGAGAAGGGGTTGATCTTAAGTATAGGTACTTTCCTGAAGAGGTCCATCAGTCAGCCTTCTTTGGTCCAGCTGCTAGTTCTTGCCTCTGTCTTAGAAAAATGGAATAAACACTGAATTTATGGCTCTGTGGATCAAGACAGATGTCTGAAACATGCTGCAGTTGTCAGATGGGAATAAGCAGACTTGTCTCATTTTATGAATGGGCTTCCCAGCCTTCCCCAACCTGGTGCTCTCCAGATGAGCTAGACTGCAACTATAATGACATCTGGAAAACAGCATTTCACAAGTGGAGCAGAGAGAGAGAGCCATGAACAAGTCTGATCATATTGCTTTTGCTTAGAATGGCTACTTTGTATTGCTTAGAAAGCAATGCATTTTTCTGAAATACCACAAATTATGTTTTGTGGCACTTTAATTTTAAAGCATTTTACTCCAGTTCCTAATTTTTCAGTCAAAAAGTCTCTGAGCAGTAACTAGTTTTCGTAAGAAACAGCCTCTCTCACTCACACTATACATTTTCTGTAACTTAAGATACAATCCTTATATTGCTCACAATATGGACAGCTTTGGTGTTAAAGAACAAAAGAAGAAATTTTGCAAACCAGATGGTTCTATCTGGCAGATATCCTCAAGTAGCACTCAGATATCAGATAACAGGATGGATAGAATTCATCTTTTTGCAATGGTAGCTGTCCTAAAATGGTGCTTTTGCTGGGGCGGACCAGTCAACTTGCATGTTAAAGTGGTACAGCTATTAGAGAACGGTATCACACGCTTTTTTTTTCTTCTTCAGACCATGCAGATCAGCCCTTCGAATCGACCCTGAATTCATTTTTTTATCTCAGCATTCAGTCCAGTGGATAGGAGGGTGTTGTGCGTGTATGCAGAGCAAATTCTTTTTTATCCCCCGCCAAGCTTCCAGTATCTGCAATAAGAAGTTCCAGGGATGTATATTCTATTCAGCTTTAAAATTTCCTACCTGGAGAATAAACTCCACTGAATTCAGTGGGACTTTAGAGTAGTGCTGTTACAAACAGAGAGCAATACACCTGCAAAGTGCTGCTTGATCTCGCGCGCTGTCTTCCTCCGCCCCATTAGTTAGGTTCGATTGCTCTCTTATCGATTTCTTGAGTCTGTTCGGACTGGAGCGGTTACTCCTGTCGGGGGTACGAACGCGTCGCCTTTCAACTAGGAGCCCTGCAGGAGGCTCCAATTAAAGAGAGGGGATCGATTGGTCAGGCCTTACTGCAAAATGGCGGCCACCGCGACTACTAACCCGTCTCAGCTTTTACCGCTCGGTAACGAACGCCGGCTCTCGCCTGGGAGTAGACTGAGTGGGTTGGGGGTCTCGGCCCTTAGGTCGAGAAGCGGAGCCAGCGGCAGTGGAGCTGCTTAGCCTTGCTGGGTTTTCCGACTGTGGGATTTGTGTGCTGTTGAGACACAACGAGGAGCGTGAGCGTGAGCGTGATATGGGCTGAATGAGAAATGGAAGGGCGGGAATTCATACGGGCTCATACACGCTTCAGTCGCGGGATGGCCTGGAGCTGAGCTTGTATCTGCGCATGCAGCAGGCTGGCCTCCATCAGACTGTTCTTCCTCTTCCGTCCCCTCTTTGGTTTTTATTGTAGGAGAGGATTCAAGTCTGGTACGTTAAGGAGAGCGGTTCAAATCTAGCCCTCTTCCAGTTACACTACTTTTCCACTCTCACAGACTTGAAGCCCGGCTTACACAATTATTTATTTAGGGTGCAGCCTTAAACGTGATAGTTGGGGGGGGGGGGGCAATCCTGCAGCTCCCATCACTTCTCAGTCAGCATGGCTAATCTGAGAATTTTGGGAGTTGTAGGACTATTATCTAAACATGAATTATGTCCCGAAGGGATTTTAAATCTATGCTTTAGGGTGCCTTAAAGCTGGTTTGCAGTTTACAGTATTATGAACACAAATTGGAATTAAATATGGTCATATATATGGACGTGCAGCACCTCATACTTTTTTTTTTTAGCAATTAATGTAGACAGTAATGCCTGCAGCAGCATGATGTGGTAGAGTACTAAAGTTAGAAGTTGCCATATACCAGCTTTCTCCCACATGAAATATATAATTGCAAATAAGAAGTTAGTGCTTGAGAGTTCCTTTAAAGTGTGATTCCCCACTGTATGGCTGAAGCAATGAATTCTGTTCTACAGCCTCATTCTCCTTCATACTTAGGCTCAACTGGAGTGTGTCACAGTTGAGAAATGTCTGAGATCATGTGAGATGGTATGGAAGTGCATCTGAAAGAGAGCACTTTATTCTCTAGAGCAGAGATATGCAACCTTTTAGGGTTTGTTCACAGATCTGGCAAGTTGACAAACTTTCCTGGGTACCATCAGAAAACAGCTGCCATGGGAGACATGGCTTACCAAACACAAGTGACAGGAGTCACTTCCTTTTCTCCTCCCTATTTTTTTGGTGTCTGAATACACTGCAGAAGAAAGCACTGGTCAGCAGCTATATGCCATAATCATTTCCTAATGTCTCTGAGACCAGTTGTGGCCCAGAGGCATTCATAGGAAATGAAGGTGTTAGCAGGTGAATGCCTCCATTTCGCTTTGAAGTGGTCCCAGTGGCCAGATATAGCATTTTTAATTTTTAAAAGGGTTGAGCATCTTGGTCCCAGGTGACATTCGTGCCTATGCACCATGTTGTGTACCCTTTTTTGAGGGTACCTGTAGCTCTTTAGATATGGTTGGACTCCAGCACTCATCAGCCCCAAACAGTATTGCCAGTGGTCAGGAAAGATAGGAATTGTAGTCTGGCTACTGCTGGAGAGCTGCAGATTTCTTACTGCTGATTTAAACAGTGGTTCAGGGGCTTGGAATGCAGTAACATTAAAATTTGATTTAGCAAATCTCTAAATGTTTTGAAAATAGACTATTTTGGAGATAGGTTTAAAAATCATTAACATCTGCTGCTTAAAAATTGTTTTTTCTGTTTAACAGAGCTGGTGGATAAATGCATAGGCTCTCGCATTCACATTGTGATGAAAAGTGATAAAGAAATTGTTGGTACACTGCTAGGATTTGATGACTTTGTCAGTATCCTTTAAAACAAATATGTGGACGCTTTTGCCTGTTTGTTTTTTATATTTATAAATAACCCTTTAGAAATACTATTCTTTTTAAAGGATTTTTCCTGAGGTTTTGTCGGAGTAAAAGAAAGTCTACAATTAGTTGGTGCACCCAGTGCTTGTAACTGGCTGTATGAAAGTGGATGTGGCCACTGAACTTTCCACTGATGTGGAAACTCCCATTTATGTGACCTGGTACCTCCTCAAGACTAAGACATCTCACTCTGTGCCCCAGTTCCTTACATGCTGACAGAATACAAATGGAGATGTTTGTCTTCCCTTCCAGGCTTTTAGCCTGGTGGCCATTGTACACACTGAAATAATTGTGTAAAGCCATAGAATGCATGAAGAATGTTAGCCAACTTTAACCACTGCTGTGACTGAAAGAACAATATTTGTGCATTCATAGTAATTGATTTCCCTTGACAATGGTCTCCAGACATGGTATTAGAAGATGTTACAGAATTGTAAGTATGGCTGCTTCTGACTTTCAAGCTAAGCACATTCTGTGCTTCATTGTTTCATGTACCCATGGTTGTCCATACCTTTTCTAGTACCTGTTCTGCTAAATGTGCCTTTTTAAGTTTTCACATATGTGTACATAAGCTAACATACTAGGTGCTTCGGGGGGGGGATTCTTTAGAGCAGTATATTGTAATTCTGTAGTGCTGACTTGTTTTCCAGAAAAGTAGGATGTAATACTCCTTTCTCTCTGCAAAAAAATTATCTTAATTCCATTTAGTGCTGCCACCCCAAAGTAGTTCTTTGTTCAGCTTCCTGTAGAGCTAATAGCCATGCTTTCCGGATTGAACAGTGGGTGGTACTCTATAAAAGTTGCCCAGATTAATATGGTAATATTTGTAGAAGAGAAATCTGTATGCCTAATTTTTTTGAGGCCATTCTTTTTGCATTATCTGAACTATATGGAAACAATTCCAGCATGGTTGCTTCCAACAGTATTTTTAAAGTATTTTCTTGTGTACAAATTATTTCCCTTTAAGACTACTAATAGTTATAACACTCAACAGTGTTTTGATATTTTATGAGGCAAGACAATTCACATAAGAAATTGCTCTTGTATACCAATTGTTCACCCTTAAATCCATGCTAATGATCTTATACTTATTCCCCTTTAAATCCCACATAGTCTTACAATTATTACTTCCCCAGAGCAGTGTGGGAAGCAACCCCAGTGCAATTGTTTCTGTACAGTCAAGGTAAGCAGTTATTTCCCACACCAATGTTGTCCTTCCTGGAAAGTTGGTTTACCCTGGCATGGGAAGCAGACACATTATTAACTCTTCCCATGTGAACTTGTTCTTAAATTTATGGACTACTTTGGGAAGCAGCCACACTTCATTGCCCCCCTTGCACAAGAAAGGGGTCTGATGCACTGGTTCAAAAGGCTTGGATTGCACCAATGTGGGTTTTTCAGCCCATTTTAATTAGTAATTTCCATTAACTTCACTGTGATTTACTTTCATGGAATTGTGTTTGAGATTTCAGCTTCTCTCTGATGGTTATGCCTTGAATGAATTTTTTTTCACCAAAAAATTCTAGCTGTGTAAATGTTGTCTTTTTAAATGTCCAACAGTGAAATCACACCTGAAGGACGAAGAATCACAAAGCTTGATCAGATTTTGCTGAATGGAAATAACATAACAATGGTAAGTATTTTTTAATACGAATCATTTCCTCTTAAATGCCTACAAATTATGGTAAAATTCAATTACCTGGAAAATAATTAATTGATAATCAATGTTTGAATAGACATTAGGTTGATTTAGGATTAGAATGGGAACATAAGAACCTAAGAAAAACTATGCCAAATCAGACCAAGGTCGACCTGGTGCAGCATTCTGTATACACAGTGGCAAACCAGCTGCTCAAAGGATCCCTCAAACAGGATGGGTACAAGCCCTTCTGGCCAAGCTTCTCAGCAACTGGGATATGCAGGCATGCCACCTCTGGTAAAGGATGTGGCACATAACCAGCAAGGCTAGTTGCCACTGAGAGCCTCCTCCCTCATGAGTCTATCCAGTTCCCTTTTAAAGCCATCAAGGTTAGCACCTGTGGTGGCAAATTCCATAATTTAACTACATGCTGTGTGAAGTAAATTAGTAAATGTAGTGACACTCTTATTTTGATCAAGGTTGAACCTACTTTTCTTCATTCTGAAAACAAATCTTTTTCTAGAGTGACAGAATTGCACTGTGGAATTTCTTCTTTGATAGCATATTTTGAAAAGAGGCGCTTGTTTTGAGCATTACTCTTTGAAACAAATTGCTTCCGATTTAGTTAATGAACATTCAGCAAAAACAGTAAGCCTCTGCACAAATGTGATACAAGGGTTAGTTGGTTTTTCTGATGGATTTTATTCGTTGACATTTCTAGGTTTTGTGTTGATCTACGTATTTCTACCAAAATAATCCAGGGTGGCTTATACAAAGTAGGCAAGGTAATGGAAGGGATCTCACTGATGATTCTTCAAATTAGTTCCTCTAGGAAGAAACCAGGTAGCTGATATTTTAGATAAATCAATACAAGTAACCTCAGTGGGCATGTTTCTATAGACAGGATGGAATTGGGTTGGTGCACAGCATTTCTAGATTGTAATGCTTATGTTCTTTTTCTTCTCACATCATAACTGCCTCCCCCCACCACACCCCATACAGCTGGTTCCTGGAGGAGAAGGACCGGAAGTGTAAATAATCTGAATTGCTATCACTGAAGACTTTCTGTTAAATATTTTGTATGAATACCTTTGTGAAATGTAATGAGCTTTTTATTTGTACATTTCAAGTTGATATTTGAATACAAAATGCAATTTCCATTTCAGGGAAAATGCATTGTTTAGATGACTTTGTAAGTTTAAATGATTGTTGTAAAAGCAAAATTGAGTTGCTGGTAAGAGCAATGGGAAAAATTAAGTGATGAATACAGTTTTTGTAACTCTGAAATGTGCTTACTGCAAATTTTGATGTCAGATAGAATGATGAATCTTCTGTGGTTCTTTTTCAGCCTTCTTAGAGTGGGTATAAATTTTACATGTTAAAAAAAACTATCCGGACTATTTAATCTGTGCTTCCCAAAGAGTATAGGAACACATTTCCTCCTTCTCCTCTATTGTGTTCAAGATCTAGGCTATTATTATATGCTGAAATACCTTGTGATTTGTTTGAGAAAAGTAACACTGGGCTCATTCTCATATAATGGTAAATTAATTAACCCAAAGTTCCTGCTGTTATGTACAAGGAGATAGTTTTCTGTTTATGAGAGTATGTTTCTCACCAAGTCCCTACTATAATATTATACTTTATGCTTGATATTGTTCACTTAATTAAAACAGTATTCCAAGTAGCCTTTAACACCTCCATGAGCAGTTTAAGTAGTGTATCCCTGAATAACAAAGTTGATAAGTTGAACTTGAGAATAATGGAAATCATTGGAAGGAATTATGTCCTTTCCAGAAAACCATTGCAAAAACTTAAAAATTTAAAACTATTCAAAATTGTTTTTGTAGTGTAAAGCTATTTCAGGAGCCAAGAGAGTGCTAACTTAAGCTCATTGAAATAAAGTTTTCTTTTTCATCTACCCAGCTGTGCCTTCATGCTCTATTCTGTTTTGTTCAGGAGAGTTTTTCAGCCCTCTGACAGTGTCTGTAGGAGAGGGGATAGGAAACCATTCTTCCATCCAGTCCACTACCCAGAAAATGGAGTGTCACATCCCCCACCCCAAAAACCCCTCTTCTTGAGTACAAATGAGTCTTGCCTCCTTTGCTTATGTGTAATTTTTAAAATATAACATATCTGAACCGAATAGCAACACAAAAGTGCAATACAATAAACTCTGAGATGAAAAAGTTGCATTATAACTAAACTGCAATGAGTTCACCACAAAAGCGTGGTGAACTCTATCTTAAACTGTTTCAACACTGAATAAAGAGGTCCCATTTATCATTAACCTTTATTCTCTAACTTTGGTGTGAAATGTGGAAATCCTCCCAGAGGACTTATTAATTGTTGGTGGACTAACTTCCTTTCATCTATAAGAGGTTGCAGAACATGCTGCTGTCATAACAAAGAACTCACAATCTGATGTGAGGTTCTTTTGGGGTCTTCTAATGCAGTTGTGCCTTTAAGACAGGGGTCTCAAACTCGCGGGCCAATTGCTGGGACGGGCAGGGCACGGGGGAGGGTCCCTGCAGCCTTCAAAGTGCTGGCGGCGCCCGGGCCGGCCGCGGGATGAGTGGCCCACCACCGCCGCGGTGGTGGAATACTTGATGCGGCCCAGCCTTACCCAGACTCTACTTTCAGTGGCCCCCAGGTAAGTTGAGTTTGAGATCCCTGCTTTAAGATAACCAAATAAACTTGCCAGTAGATCTTGGGAAAGCTCATAACACACGACTTTTTAAATAATTCACAGAAGTAGTACAAGTATTTTCCCCTGGTTAATTCTTTAGCATTGTTCAGTATATTTGAACATATTTTTACAGTAAGGGTAGGCACTTAAAAGCTGGCATGATCAGGGCTAGCATCCCTGCAACCTCTAATACCCCACTCTCCTCTTCTTCTTTTTTTTTAAGACAACCCTCCTGTTCACATGTGCTCTCTGTCCCATAATGTGAATCATATTCTACTAGCCTACCAGGCATGGAGTGTTGATGCAGTTTTAAAGAATTGAATGGCATGTGGTGGTGGGATGAAGAGAAGTGTACATTGTTTGCTTCTCATGGCTACCTAAAGGGGGCACCAGAAGGGGCACTAGGTCCTACTTCTAAAATTGCTTAGCTGCACTGCTGGATGCTTGCTCTTTCACACACTGGGGACTTTACTCACTTTCTAAAATATTGGCACTGTGTGTCCACTAGAGGGCGACCATCCAAATTAAAGCTATAAGTGTAAGGCCAGAATCCAGACTAATGTTTATATTTTGAGTATAAAATGCATGCGGCGAGAACTAGCAGTTAGTGCTTTTTGTGGTAAAATTAAAGTAATATCAAAAAAATTGAAATACCACAAAAACATGAAAGCAATGTCAGCAATTCCAATTTTTACTTCATGCTTTCTAAATTTAATTATTGTACATACAAGTTTGTTTACATAATAACCTTTCATGACAAAAAATAGTTATGTGGTTTTTCAATTCACACAATTTTAACTGACTGACTGTGGCTTGTAAGCAGATATGTAAACCACCTAGTGTTTAGCAGAAAAAAGGAAGAAAATGCTAATAATTTCTCTCAATTCTAGTTTGAATATTCTGTTAATTTATTTGTGTTTCTGTAATCTCCCATGTATATTAACATAATCTCTTCTGTAAAGTATTTGCTTTGAATGTTCAACCTTTTATTAAACACTTGCTCAACATCAGTTCTTTACTAAATGTATCTGCTGTTTCTTGATGCTCATGAAATCTTTTCATAAAGTAATTCCTATATACAGTTCATTACAAGACACTGTTTGACCTGAATATCAGATACATAGTATTTCATCACTTATCTTGAAACCACTGAAATGTAGTACTCTATTTCAAACATTGTACTGGAGTGGTGATAACTTATCAATACAGTAAAACTTCCATATCCACTAAGTGTGGTTGTCTGAAAAAATTAAATAGAAAGTTCCAGGGCCAAACCATTAGGGATACAATAGAGGGAGGTCAGCAGTGGCTGAGAAAGGGAGCAATTGGCTTTTTGAGAGTGCTAAGACAAGGAGGAAACCATGTACACATGGAATATGAGTGAGGAAGCAGTCGTTTAGTAGGTGAAATCACTGTGGGAGCTGATGGGACCCAGTACTAAGAGTTAAAATTTTTGGAGGGGGGCTAGAGATACATGCAACTTTTCTATTTTCACAGGAATTCTGTGCTCCAGCCCTTGTGAATATGGAATAGGCCTGTGGTGTTTGCTGCTATCTGCACTTGCAGGTATTTGCTATCCCCGGTGGATATGGGGGTCCTACTGTGGACTTCTAATATATTTTTATCATGCTCCTCAATGAAAAATGGATTCCACAGTGGCTTAAGCAACTCATCCCCTTTCTCAGGCTTACAATCTAAATAAGATGAACCATACATAGAAAAAGGAATGAGAGCAGGGAGAGGAAAGTAAGACTTAGCAGGGCTTAATGTGTTTGCCCTTTCATCTCCTAGTGCAGTGGTGGCAAACCTATGGCACATGTGCCGCAACTGGCACACAGAGCCCTCTCTGTCGGCACGCGAGCCAAGTCACCCCAGCACTGCCCCAGCGGCCGAGCATTGGATAACAGGTTTTATTGCAGTGTTGGCACTTTGTGATAAATAAGTGGGTTTTGGGTTGCAGTTTGGGCGCACGGTCTCTAAAAGGTTCGCCATTCTGTCCTAGTGTGTTTGGCAGTCCAACAGGAATGTCCCGTGATGCTTCCTTTCCCTGCTTTTGTCTTTTTGTGCTCCCCCCTTCCTTCCAACAAGGCAATTTATATGCACGCACACAAAGAATGAATGAAAACTGGCAATTGAGTAACCAGTAGTACCACATCTTTTGTCAAAAGATATGACATAAGAGCTAAGAGTAGATATGATGGAATTAATTTCACTGGCTGCAATCCTATACTTACGTGGGAGTAAATTCTACTGATTTCAGTTGTATTTACTTCTGACTAATCATGGTTAGGAATACTACTACAAGATGTAAAGAATTGTTGACTACAGATCATCAATATGCATTTAATTTCTACCAAATGTCTTCTGGGTTGGAGGGTGTGGGGTATGTTCAAATAAAGAATTCATTTCACTGCAATATTTAAGCATGTCTAAATGATTCAGACTATATCATTTTAAGTTTTTATTCCTGGCCCTTCCATCTTAAAGGGAGGGTCATGATCTATAAAAATACAAATCCATAATCCTTTATCTCCACATAAAACCCAAGACCTTTTGATTACAATACTTGACAAATTATCTTAGTATCTGAAGATTATCTGGCCAGAACAGTGCTGCACGTATATGTAATATATGTGCAGTAGCACATGACAAGTTACCAGGCAACCACACACACCAGATGCCCAGGGAATTACAAAGCAGCTGGTCACTTTGCTTTCAACTAGTGGAAAAGTACAGATTCGCTTCTGATCTTGATTCTTATGTGGCTGATACCACCACCTGCCCTTCAATGATTCTGTGTACAGTAACAATGCAATAGCATTTCATTTTATTAGGGCTTGAAAACCTGCATATTTTAAGATTAAGGTGTGTTTCTATTCAGTTTTGCATGGTAGCATTAGGACAGAGCTGGCTGTTACTGCTTGTTGGTTTAGCCAATGTTTGTTGGGCTGGTCAAAAATACTCATTTGATTCAGTAGAGCATTTATGCCAAGGTAAGTGTGTATGCAATTGTAACCTGAAAGGAAGCAGCAGATACAGCGCATGACAACTGAGCTATATACTATTGGCTTATGGTTTGACCAGTCATGCCAAATTTCATTGAAATAATACATTTTTGGAAAGCCAAGCTTATATATTAGGCTAAAAGACAGCAGATTGTACCCAATTTATATATAGTTTAGAGGAAGAAACACTATTCCTGAGTCTGGTTGATGGCTATCCTCAGGTGGTTGTGCATGCATGTGTGAATGATGCAAAGACACTGCAGGAGAAATGGTTGCTATACTAGTCTGTTACGTATTTCTGTTCTAACCTCATGACAAGCTATTGGGCAATAAGATTAATTAGAACTGAGGAACACAGCTATGGTAACCTGGTTAGGAGAAACAATAGATTGATTCTAAAATCTGAGCTGCTTGAACAAGGAAAAACTAACCCCCTAAGAGAAAAAGCATGTGAAAGATTCCTACAGCCCAAGGCTCTGCAATGTTAATCAGAACTTGGTGACATCATTCCTGATAGGGAACTAATGGTCATATCATGCTAATGTGAGATTTATTTATGTCTTGTCTTGGGTATTTAAGCTGCAACTGCTGTATGGGGGGAAATGGTTATATGAAAATAGAGTTGAAAACTATGGTCCTACATTAAGCTTTTAATTATGCGCTGACAAAACAAGATGGCCTCACAATGGTACTTTACAATCTGCAGAATTTACTATTCTCTTGCATTTATTTAGCATTTATTAGGGTAGTAAGTGCCCTGTCTGGGTTTCCTAAGCGTAGATTGTTTGATGGGAGGAGTAATTGACAGTGTTTAATACCTTGTTTAAAATCAGGTGTTTACCATCAGTGCAAATAAAAGGACACCTTGGCATTTACACTGTCTAGTCAGAAGTTAATAAAAGTTACAAAGGTGCTAGATGAAAATATATTCTTCACATGACTGTATTGAGTTTCCCTCCTTTTTTCTTTTCTCTGGTGCAAAGAAAATATTCAGAAAGAATTAGTCCTACAAAAAAAATAGCTTGAGGGAGAAGCAATGCTTTTTGTGACAAGATAACAAAAGATCAGTTAAAGATGCAATCCTATCTATGTTTAGACAGATAAAAGTTTCCAGCACACCCCAACCAGCCATGGCTGGGGCATGTTAAGAAGACCCTTTCCTCTGTCTAGATATGCACAAGATTGTGCCTTAACTGACTAATGGTGAATCCTATAAGCTCCATTTTCTGGTAGGATACTGTTTAACGTATTGTGTGACATTTCACTGCATTCTCAGTTCCATTCCCAGTTCACTGCATTTCCATTTCTTCCTCTCATTCTAAATAGCTTACAAATATGGTCGATGTTGCTATGACAAAGTTGATGTTAACAGAATGAGGTGACATTTCTCTGGAGAGGATTCTTATAAAATGCAACAGTATGTGTATTTTATATTGTTATTTATGTATTTTAATTTATTTATTTATTTGTAAGCCGCCCCGAGGCTTTGGCGAATGGGGCGGCCTAGAAATTTTCTAAATAAATAAATAATAAATAAACAGCAGCATGGTATTCTGTACTAGTAATCTAGAAACTATTATCTAGTTTAAATGTCCTTGCAATTGACTGGTACATGGCCAATGGGCTGATTGTTTGATTCCAGTGGTGCCTCAGCCTCTCCTTATGAGAAGAGACCAACATTGGCCATCTAAACATTTTGGAAGGTAGGAGGAATGTAGACCCTAACCTGTGTTCCTCCCACCATCCATTGAATGCCTGTAATCCTCTTGAGTTGGGAGTGTTACGGGCAACCACATTGAATGGTGCCCCAACAGATGGATCATTTTAAGAACATGAAGAAGATACCAAGATAGTGTCTTTTAAAAAAGAAATCTAGATCTTCTCTTATGATCTTCATATATTTGGAATAAATAATTGCATAAATATACGTACTAAACCACGTGACGGATTGTATTTGCCCATTGTACTGGTTCCAGATTTAGAGTAAACCCATTAAAATCAAGACTTGATTTTAGTGATTCTATGTATAAAGAAAGGTGCAATCCTATTACCAGTAGATGCTATCTGACCAGCCATAGAAAAAGGCAGGAGCCCCCAATGCGACCTTGGCAAAGCCCTCCAAAGTTCTCGCAGGGATTTTGTTTTCGAAAGACCCTTCCCCTGCCCTTGCAGCTACTGCTGCATTTTCTTCACTGGCTGCAGCCCCAAAGATGGAAAACTGTCCTTGGAATAGGCACTGGGGGGGGGGGGGGGCATCCTGCAGGGCAGAGGGGAGAGAAACAAGTCACTGTTTCCTTCTTTGTAAGTGAATGGACGCCATTGTCTGCTCACTGGTTAATGAGGTGCCCTTGAGGTCTACACTGTTGTAAAAGTTTCCAAACAAAACATTAATTTTAAAAACCCTGAATTCAGCTATGGAGCCAACTGGGTGACTTTGGGCCAGTCACAGACTCTCAGCCCAACCTACCTCACAGGGTTGTTGTGGGGATAAGATGGATGATGTAAGCTGCCTTGAACCCTTTGTAGGAAAAAGGCAGGATATAAATAAAAATAAAAATAAAAAATAAAAAAAAATAAGATTGCCTCTTTTACTCTTGATTCTCACTCAGCCCTCTAAAATCTACTTACCCTGCACATTGGATTTTCAGGTATTACTGTCCTACAGTTCCCTCTGGTTCTTTCCCTTACCCACCCCTCAAAATAGCAATGCCCAAACAATATTGTGTTGTTTGGTGGTAACCTTCTAAATAAGCCCCCTACTTCAGAACCAGTACTTTGTGGCACTGCAGGACGTGTTTAAACCCTGTCTGAGAAGGGCTGCTCCTCCAGGCTTTGCTGCTCCAAGCTGCTCCTGCTCCCTCTCTGCCCCTTTGCTCTTGCTTCCCTCCATCAGTGTTTACATCCTAGCAATGCCTCTAACCAAGAAGCAGATAATCTCCCCACTGTGGCTGCAGCTGCTGTTCCTCTATTCTCAGGTCACTGACTGCCTTCCAGATAAACTCAGG